ATACAGGAAAGTACAATTTATTGGTGATTAAATAATTACAGTACAGTGTTATACTTCTATCTGAGGCTCTGCAAGCTAAACTGTAACTCAGGTGAGATGCAAATTCCTAAACAACAAAAATGCTGACATGACTATATGCATATTAGTGTTACTGGATGTTGTTACTGTTGACACAAAAAAAGATATGCAATTGTCCTCCTAGAATTGTAGAACAAGTTATATGGCAGACTACAAAAACAAAAAACTTTATTTACTTGGCCTGACTATAATAGCCAGTAAAGCTATCCTCACCATGCTGTTGCAGCCTGTGCAGGAGAAAAATAATACTGTGAAATAGATCACATTGTTCCAAAAGCTTAACTAAGAGACAAGCTTCTTCCCAAATGTTTGTGTTTCTCAAGTAAGAGTAGTCATCCAATTATTTCCGATTTCTAATCCTAACAGATTTTCTATTGTCACTAACACATGTATATGTGTAGTTGAAGGAAGAGATGTAACAGGCAAAGATGTTAGAAAGTATGTTAATTTGACAGTGTTTGCGCAACTCAAACATGTTTTCTGTAAAAAGAGTTGTATTCAAACACAGAAAGGTATGCTGGGATACTCTGAACACTGATTCACATTAGATAATAATTCATACTGTTATTAAAGCTTTTTCCTCAACCCCAGTCTTGTTAACGTCTGGAAGTTATAAGGCATAAAAAGCTTACTGCCTCCTTCACTTGAGCAGGCTGGGGTGAGTGAAAGAAGGGAATTAAAACCACAAACTTTCACAGTTCAGACAGAACAGTTTGCATTAGCAGTGCCTCCCTCTACCAAAGTGAACAGCCATGCTCTTCTGACAGCTGTAGCAATGAGTGTGAGCAACGTACCAACAGCCTGTAAGCTTGCAGGTACAAAACTACTGCATGGTACGCTGCTTTTCCATGCTATGTTCCCATTATTCACCAGTTGTGACCAGTGCTGTCATACCCAGTGATACACCTGTGGTGCAAAGCATTTAGCTTCTCAGTATGTCAAAAGGCATGTCGCATCTGAATGAAATTAGGGAGCCATCTCTGGTTCACATCCCACCTTTCAAAACAAAAGCAGAGGCTATGGTGACAGGGAAAGAACACTCTGCAAACACTGCAGAGAAAATTGAATGTATATATAAACCCTGCACTTGGCGTGCAACATAGTGAAGGCTAGTGCACCCTGAGCATAACCCAACCGTGCAGATGTAGGCAATCATGCTGATTAATCTGGCAAATCATTCCACAAATGAAGTAAATTAAACACTGGAAGGATGCTGTCAGGTCCAGCTTACCAATGCTGGTAGAAATTGTGCCAAAGAAACTTACTCTTCACTATGCCAGTGAGCTTTCTCAATTGCTTCTAGTTCTGTTAAATACCACAGCAAGCAACAACATGATTAAACTTACAATGCCCTATAGCACATTTGTCTAGTACCATGTCATTTTGACACAGCTACTTTATTCATTCTCTGAATCAGAATAAAAGAAATCAGATGGCTTGAATCCAGTACAGTTGTGAAAATCGGTTCACTCCCTTGAACAGCACAAGCCCCACATGGGAGGAAGGAGGCTGTATGCCCAATGACTTTACTCGGCAGGCTCTGAATGGGAAAGGGTAATTGGGCTAGAGAAACTCTCCCACACCTGGAGATTGCTCACTGTTTACCAACATGGTCAGTTACTAAAAAAATGTCTACACTGCCCCCTAATTCATGAGGTGCCAAAGTACAGAGGTACGGAGAAGGCATGGATCTCTGCACAGGACAATTTACCTTACTTCTCATTAGCAACATCTAGTTGTTTGACTCATTTCCTGCCTTTGTAAAGGATACTGCTTATCAGTTATTTTACCAAACACACACCTGTACTAGTGAAACGTGCACTAGTGAAACCTGCAGCTGTATGTGATCCAGAAGCCCCTGGCAGAGCAAGCAATGTCAGAGCTGCAAGGAAGTGACTTTAGCAAGAGCTGAGACCACCTGGCAGAGAGCTGCCTGCCTGCAAGGTCTGCCTCAGGCACAGGTGCATGCTCCTGTAAACACATCCCAAGTTCTGTCTCTGTTCTTGCGCTAGATGCAGATTGCTGAGAATTGCCATCTACTTGTGTCACTCAAGAGTGGTATTGTCCTTTGCAAAGTAAACTAATGCCATGCCTCTTGTGCAATAAGCAGAGCATTTCTGATAACCAAGCTAGATCAAGAAATCTGTGCACTACATAGAAGTTTGCAATACAGGTATGGCACATCATTATCTTGAAATGGAAAGCTTCTGTTTAGAAAATAAGGTCCTTCATATCCTTTGGAAAAGCTTCTAAGAGAGACAGTGGATTGTGGGGAATTGTGGCAGGAATAGTTGAGTGGGTATAATGGTATAGATGGTCAGATGACAGTATGCCACTCAGTTAAAAATCATACATAGCCTTAAATGAAAGCCTTTTGTTCTGCTTCAACAGAGCAAGTATTTTCCACAAGGATGGGCACAAGGGAAAAAACCTTTAATGTGAAACCTACTCTAGAGTAATGCATTTTCTCATCATGTCTTGACTTCTCACACCTGTTTTGGCCTCATGACTGCCACCATCCACGTTCAAAGCCAGTGCTTTGCAGCAAGCGAACTGCCTGTGCTGCCAACCCTCACTGCAGCAGCACACTGTGTGATGATGCTCAGCAAAACTGCATGACAATAGATGTGAGCAGTGGTTTGGTGAGGGCGCAGCAGGAAAGGCAGGTACAGGTCACTGTCCTGTGCTCCTCCCTGCTTTGCAATGCTGCTGGTAATTCCTGACAGCAGCAGGTGCAGAGGGTGACCCACAGCTGTGCAGACACCTTAGCCAGCACAGCAAACGGAGTAGGTTCTGGACACCTGTGTCAGCCACCACTTCAGCCAGGTACAGGCTCCATGACACTAAGAGCAGGCATACAAGTTCAGAGATCACTTGGGGCCATGCACAGCAGTTCTATCTGATTTACCACATAGTATGGGTAGTAATAGCTGTGTGAAAGGAGGGCAGTTCTAAGTTCAGTATTAACAGTTCTTACTAAGTAAATGTTGCCTTTTGGTTTTTTTTAAAAATGGGCAGTTTTGGACAGATGATCATAAGGTTCTTTTCTAATGCATTTTCCTAACCACTTTGATCCTGTATTAAAACACCAAGAATGTACATGTCTTGCTCCCCCACAAGCAGAATCGTCTCCTGTTCCATATACATAAATGACAAAATTACCCCCGATTTCCTTAAGAGTCCTAAAGTGCTACAGGTATTTACACACCAACAAAGGCTTCTCTACATTAACAAGCAATTTCCGCAATGTAGGGAGCTGCACAGAGGTGGCTGGCAGAGAACAAAGAACACAGATGCAGAGTAAGAACTAATGCATGAGAATTTCACCACATACAGAAAAAATTACAAATGTTTTTAGCAAATGCTGGAGTGAAAGATTTCCCAATAAGTATGCCATTTAACAGCAAATTATTTTCTCCTGGAAACAGGAATAAATGCTTCAATGTGACTGTTTTAACACTGCATGAAAAGCTAACTTGCAAATATTCACATTTGCTAACACCTAAATTAGATGTTATAAGTGTCAATGCAATCCAGCCTTTTCACTTGAATACACAGGGAAAGTAAAAAAAAAACTGTGAACTTCTGGGTTTCAAGTGAGTACCTTGAACTCCTAGCCCAGCTAAAGAACCATACAGATGTAATTTTAAAAACTTATTTGTTTACTTTCCTGTATAGTCAATCAACAATTAGAAACTAATTTTCCCATAACAAGGACAAGACATTAACCCAACGCTGAGGTCTACCAAATGGGTATCCTTACGAGGTATTTTAAGTAATGCTTCCTTTAACAATACTTTGTCACAGCAATTCTTTGAAACCCATGTTTTCCTTGCTCGTTGGACCACAGACAAAGCGTTACAAGTCTTTGTGGGGTTTCGTAACTGGCCTTTCAGAGTCCATCCCACAGCTGCTCATCTTGTCTTTGCACTAGTGCGGGGCGAGACCCAGGGCATGGAGTACTGAACCAGCGACGCCCCTTACCAGAGTGGGCTCCTTCCAAACAGCTCCATACAAGAGCCTAAGGTAACCGCACCGCTACCACCGTGAGTTCAAGACAACAAACGCTGGGGGCATGCATCTTTGACGGTGATTATCGTTACCCACAGCCCTACGTAAGAAACCATCGACTCACCAACGAAGCCCTCCCGCCTCCTCAGCCGCCCCTCACCTGCCACCGCCTCCGGGCCGGAAGGGCACTGGGCTCCGAGCTCTCCCGACACTGCCGCTCTCCGCTCCCGTCACCGGGCGGCAGGAGAGCGGCGCTGCCCCGCAGCAGTTAGGGTAACGCGGCAGCGCAGGGCTCCGGTGGTGAGGGTGTTCACAGAACGCGACGCCGCGCCCCCCTCAGGTGCCGGGCGCAGAGGTGCGTTTCCCCGCGGCGCTTCCCGCCCAACGCCGGGCTCGGGCTGCGAGCGCACGTGGCGCCGCTCGCGCCGCAGGCACCCACGAGGCACTGTGAGGCGGCTGCGCGCGGCCGTGAACGCCGGCGGGTCGGCGGTGCGGTGCGGTGCGGTTACTAAGCCTGTCTTGTACCGTTACCAGATCCCCAACCGGATTTTGTTCGTGCCTGAAGTTTTTTACCACAGGTTGATCGCTACGCATGCATCGGTGTTCTTTTCCTTCTAATGCGGCTCTGGCACAACTCGGAAATACACCTGAGGCCCTGCTGCACCATGGAAGGCATTGAGCAAGCTCGTTTCACCTCCATAATTGAGGGGCACCAGATCTGCTGCTCCGGGTGAAGGTTCAGACGCAGCGGTGCCTGCAAGAGCCCAAGGCCAGAGGTAATTACTATGTAAAGGCGCATTTAGTAGCACAAAGGAAATGTTCGTTTGCAGTAGGAGCAGCACTAACCGGAGCAGGACTGTAGGTGCAGCCCGTCATTGACCCACAGACCATACACACCGGTTCTGAGGAGCTGGCAGGAAAGTGTAGCATTACATTTATTGGAAGTATTGATTCACACATTATTAGGAACACAGTACCACTTTAGGAAAGGTTATTAGAAATATGAATAGAGTAAGTAATGCCAGATGCAAACAAACATCTGGTCCAATTTTGTACACACTAAATGTATTTTTTCTTTTCTAGATCTGTCCATACATATAGGTATGGGTAGTAGCCCTCTTTCGGCTGGCAGAGTATTCTATGCAAATTGACTGTCCCTGCACTGGCTTCTGAGAATAGAGATCATAATGTAATTGGGGGAGGGGGGGGAAGCATGTGAACCTACTCTCCTAAGGCCCTGTTTGAGTCTGACAAGCTAAGCTGGAAGCTGGGTTTATGCTTGTGACCAAAAGCAGAATGCAGTGAGTGTCTGTCCCAAGAGAGAATTTACAGTTTTTATTAGGTCTTACAGATAACCATAGTATGCTTTATCAGTCACTGCTGTATGGACCAAAAAAGTTATTCAATTATTGTGAACGTACTATACTACTAAACCAGTATTACCACAAAACTGAAGAAGTATTTACCAGACCATAAGACTGCTTATACCTGTCTAATCTCAAGTGGTTTTTTTTAATTGTTTACAAATAGTTTCATTATCATACATCCTGCAGTTCTAGAGCTGAGGCACTACAGCACAGGCATCAGAAATCTCACCCAAATTCCCAGTTTTATATATTCAATGACTAAAGTTTAAAAAAAAATCTTTTCCAGACAACTTCAGTCTCACATCTCAAGTCTCTTAAATTTGTCTTAAATCTCTGGATATCAAAAACCTCTAACATACTTGCTCCTGAGGATACCTGAAATATATTGATAATTTATAAACATGTTTCAGGGTTATATGATTGGTAAGTAAACAAGTCTTTGGTAAATAATAACTACTCTGTCCTTTACTCAGTTAAAAACCTTAATCCATTTTTAGATCTAGTTTAACTGATTTTTTTTTTTAATGAGTATTTCTATAGTGAATAAGGCTCATGGCATAATATTGAGTGGGATGAGTTGTTGTATGTAGCAAAAACCTGAATGATGTTTTCAGTTACAAATCTTGTTAGAGCAAATACTAGGTTCCTGCTCTGGCTTGTTTTCTTTTTGTGCCTTTCAGCCAGGCCCAGGACACTGAATCTGAATGAGAGCTTTCTAATGAATTAGAATTCTGGCATGTAAAGGTGTCAGAAATCTAGAAAATAGTGTCCATTGCAAGGATACATTCTACAGTATGTACTGAAAAAACTACAACAAACCAGTAAGTTTAAGGTTGAAATAACACATTATAGCTGCAGTATTTCCTAAAAGTGTCTGCTTTACCATTTGTGCAGTAAAACAGAAAAACTATGCACTATGCATGCTTGTGCAAGTTGAACATGACTTCTTGCTCCCAAAGGAAACTTAAAGGCACAGGACATAGGTAATGTGAATGAAAACCTGGTAACAAACACTGGCTTCCATTCTATTACAAGAATCCGATTAGAAACTGAATGCCTAAACGTATTTTTTTCTGTTTGTGTACTAGATGTCTTCACTTTGGCTAAAAGATACTATACCAGGTCCCTTACAAAAAATAGCAGCATTAAATAGATTTTGTAATTTCAGAGGAGAAATAAAAATATGCCTGCTTTAAGTTTGGTTTACAGAGTTTTGGGGATTATTTTAAACATGTCCAATAAATTAGCATATTCTTTTCACTGATTTTTACAGTTTTACTGTTCTACTACATTTTTTTAATCATTTGCCTTGTTAAAGGATCAGTTACATTTGAGACAATAAATATTATGCTTTACAATAAATAATATTCAAGTCAATGTATTGTACTTACAAAATAACACTATAATATTGAACTCTATTTTATATATTCTGCAGCAAAAATAACATTTCTAGTAGGAAGTAATTACTTATAAACTTAGCAAGATCTACACATTCACGTGTGTGTAAACAGCTTAACAAGGTTTATTATCTTTCCAAGAAAGCTATGCCTTTACAGTAGGTTTCAGCTAAATGTTATCATAATATGGTAGTAAGCATGTAACAGTGCTTATGTTTAGCTCCATCACAAATTTGAATTTGAAAGGAAAAAGAAAATCAAATAAAAAGGAGTGCCATTATTACAAAGAACAGCAACTTTCCTTATGCTTCACAAGTGACTGTATCTGTGTGTCAACAAAATGTTAGGGCGAGACATTCCAGATGAACTGCAGCTAATGTTGGACGAGGATGATTTCATGATGAACAGTGAAGGTCCTGGTAATAAACACCTAGAAAGGATATGAAAAACATAGCAGAGTTTACTGGCAAAGTGACATTCAAGAGCAAAAGAATTAGTTTTTCATGTATCATACCTTTTAATAATCATATGCAAGAAATTGCATACAATAAATATTATTTATAAAACATACAGGGCAGTAGCTAACTCGGGAAACAGAACTAAATTCAAAGAAACTCTTAGAGAAATTTCAAGATGTTGTATGAGGATCAAAACCTTTCCAGTCCTTCCTGTTTAAAGCAAGTGGGTAAACAAACAATGGTATTTTGTGTAACACTACTTCCAAAAATTAATACTTCAGCCTTTGTGTGTTATTACAGTACTGTTTACTTTAAACTGGGTAAAAATTGCAGTTGATGTTAACCAGCTTATAAAAAGTTCAGTTGGAAAAAAAAAAGCTGATTAGGGAAAAAAACAAATTTTCAGCTTTGTTTCCCAGCTCTAATTACCTAAAAGTAGACACACTATCATCACTGTTTTAACACAAGGAACAATGATGCTGCAATGTAGTAAGTCACATCAGTGACTGCTTACCTTTTAAATTCAGGCAATTGCATCACCTCTCTTTTTTTTTTTATTAATTACAAACAGTAATTTATCATATGCCTATTATTCATTCTTAAATCTATCATTTCCTAATGACAGGAGTAATAGTTAACATAGAAGTCATTAAATGAGCACAGTAGGTGTGCAAAAATAACATCCACATTAAATCACCATTTTGTAATGAAATACGTCAATGTTAAGATGGATTAACACAACACATTGTATAAATTATTGCTTAATTTTTTTGTGTATCATTCTAGTGTGGTTGGTTTTATTATCTTTTTCTTTCGCCCTGTACAAATAAATTTTACCAGCTAAAGAGGTATCTACTTGCATATATCTACTTCATACTTAAAAGCTATCATTGAAAGCTTTAGTTTCAAACATTTGTTTTATGAACAGAAAGAAAAAAATTGTTTCTGCTCAGAAAAAAAAATAAAGTTCTTCAAATTAGATTTATAAAGTCTTGAAAAAAGACTTCTTGTACATTAATTATATCCTGATCTTTTCTTGCACTTCATACAATTTTACAGAGAGTCAAGAAAACTATTATTAGTACTGCAGATTCTTACATCATTTAAAAACAGAAAACTAGAGAAGTGAAACTGTACTGTGGCTCTTCCAGTTCTAGAAAAATAGTTCATTACCTTACAGTTATGGGGCATAATGAGAAAGCATTTATTTCCATATTTGATTTTCTTTTTACAAATTCAGAATATCATGGTTAACCAGTATATTGCTGTATCCATACTATATATGTAACATTTGTGGAGATATTTTAAACAATCAGAATTATCACAATACTCCGTTGCTGAAGACATACTGATACTAAGAGAGAGAGTGCTTAGATTCCTCTAGCCTGTGAAATTGATAAATAAACTTCCATTCAGCACCCAAAGAAACACAGAAACTGGAGATGAGAAAGTTCTGTTGGACCATCCCTTTCACCACTTCCCAAATGCGAGCATGTTAGTTGCAGTACATTAGAGTAATCCTATCTGTTTGAATAGTTTGTGGTTGGTCATGATGAAAAATTTTCTGCAGTATTAACAGTAAAAGCAATAAAAACTTCAGTATTGAAGATTTTCTAGTCTTAGCTTATCCAAATTACTTTACCACACTCTTGCTATAGCTCAGTAGATGTTAATATTGAACATGATTTGTTTTGTGGCTAGCATACTTCTATTTTTGCTGAGACCAAACAAATTCAGTTTCTGGTTGGTTTTAAATTTTTTAAGAGTGCCTTGAGATCCGTATGACAATAACAAATGTGTTCAGGTTATCAAATAACTAGTCTGAGATATAGCAAGTAAGCAATTAAATCATAAAATAAGTTTAACAGATAATATATCAAAAGTTTGCTTTTCATGTACTATTAAACTCCTAAAGCTTTTCTATGAAATAATGTCTGTAAGATGTTTTATATAAACAAAGCATTTGTAAGTTTATATACATAATAATTCAAATTGCCTTTATGGGTAGAATTTAGAACCTACGTAATTTGAAGCTTACATTTAATTCTCCAGCTATGACTATTAAATTGAAAACCGTTGACTCCCACAGCTGGAGCATTTTCAGTAATCCCTATTGTACCTGGTTGGAGAACTGAACCAGCCAATGGAGAATCAGGTAAGTGCCAAATAAGTTTTTACTATATGATGCTGTTTTGCAAGGTTTGAAAATATATTTATGCTCTGTAAGATGAAATAATAAAACTTTCAATCTGTAGGTTTTGGAAATCAACTTTGCAAAACTGTGCAATACAGTAAATCAGATGGCACTTACCTGACCCTTGGCTGGAGCTGCACCCCTATAGCATCCCACTGCGAATATGAAGCCACAAGTATCACACCTGTTAGGATACCTCTATGCAAATGCAAATCTGGAATCAGTGACATTGAGGGATCTGAGAAGGGGAAGAAAGGAAATTTTCAGTTCACTGCATGGAAAGCCTTTGCTTCAGCTACGTAGGCAGTAGGCAAGACTTTAATAAGTGTAGTTTTATACGAAAGTGTATATCAAGTCTTCTTCTAGTAGCATTTCGAGAGTGGGCTAGAGAGATTAGAATGATAGACACTCAGGATCAAGGGAAATATCAGGGGGGGTTGCCTTTTTTTTTTTAATACATAGTGAACTAGGCTTAAAGAGAAGCGTAGCGGTAGCAACACAGACTAAAACCTGTTCGGATATTATCCTTTATAATTTAGAATATTAAAATTTATACCTTCTATCATCCCAGTGGAGGCTATTCCCAGTTGGAGATCCTCTTGAGTCTGATGAATATTTGTAAACCACCAGCAGGCAGTGTTTACAAAGCTGTACTATTCGTTGGCAACACTGGAGTTGCACAGGAGTCACCACCTCTGTGCTTTTACTCAGTATGGTTTCCCAAGAGTTCCTGTTACAGAAAAAGACAAGAGTTCATGTTTTCTGTAACAAATTGCAGCCTGGGAGCTTTACTGCTTTGATTCAGATTTAACAAGAGAAAAAGCATGACCTTGGCTGTTTACAGGAAAGGTCTATACTATTTAACACAAATGCTGGCAGATGCAGAGTCCAAAACACAAATTAAGAAGTTAATCTTCGTATGTGAAATGCTCACAGCCATTTCTCACACAGTTTGTTCCCTAAGGCATTTATAGGGCCATTACATAGGTTTAGCACATAAAGATTTATTGTCACATAATCATGTACGTATCTTACAACAGAAATAACAAAAGCCACTTACTATTTTTAACAGGCTACCACCTGAATGCAAATGTGATGTCATATTAAAGGAATTATACCAGTAATAATAGTAGTAATTTACAGGTGATTAGTATGTGCTCTGCTTCTTTATCAAATAAACATGTGGAGAGTTTCTCAGTTTAGTCATTCAAATACTACTTCTTCCATCTGGTCATACGGGGTTGTTCTAAAATTAAGTGGAATTTGCAGAGTGTATCTAAAGCAGCATTCCTTTTTGACATACAGACCATCACCCTTTTTGTTTTCTTAAAAAGCCACATCTCTTCCCAAAACCTGACCATACCAACATAAACCAGGTATGATTTACCACAGAAGAACATACACCAGGTATGTTTTACCACAGCTATTACAATAGCTCTTTGCATACACCTCAACACCCCGCTGTGCCAAATTCCAACCAGATTACAGATCATTACATCCATTTCAGTGGCAGCACAGTCCCTATCAAGGCATTTTTTGGTCAAAACATTATCCAGTAACACAGATGGTTTGTAAGGTGGGGGGGGGGGGGGAGGTATTAAAGAATCATTTCACAGAGTGAGGAAAATTTGCTGCTTCAACATAGCATCCAGGATGATTTAGCCTTGTCCACTGAGATCAGCAGTAGATTTCACAAACCTAGTATGGGAAGTTTGTCCTTAAAACAAAATCAAAGAACCAGCAAGCTTACTTCTGCCTACTGAGGTTTTTAATATTATGCTGTATTAGGACTGAATTATAAACATCAGTGACTAAAAGATAAGCTGTATGTACAGCTGACTTTTCGGCCTGGCTCCTCAGTCTAAATGATATTTTCTAGCTGAAACTCTTCAGTCTTACAGAATTTTCACTGTACACATAATTTTCAAGTGATGCAAGCATTTCTCCTTAATTATTATCCATCTAATGAATTGTTTAAGAAATGTTGTTTATAAGACACCGAAACTGTTTCAATATCAAAAGCAGAATAATTCTACTAGTTGAAAAGCTAGTATTTTCTTAAACATACTTTTCTCAATATTGTTTCCTGTCTGGGAGCTTTCCACTTGCATTTTTACATGAAAATTAATCTATTGTCTTCATTCTTTCCTTACAAAATCATGTGATGGTTTGTAGGAAGCAGCAAGATGAAGTTCTGAGTATTACAGTCATTCATAGTACTACACATAATTATATTCTAATTCAATCCATAAATCTCAAAAATCCCATGGAAGAAACTTTCCTGATAAATTCTTTCGGTTCTGGCCTGTGAGGTCTGTGATCACTTTCCCACTACTAGGAGGGATTTTATCAGTGAAGAATAATGTGGCATGCTCTAACTATAGTCAATTATGAACACAGTGGTATAGAGTTAGCTTAACAACAAAAGTGGAGATTTAGAACTATATATGTGAATTTAATGCACTTTCATATAAATGTGCCTGTGCAATCTCCTCCATGTGCTACACAGATTCAGTTCATACTCTATTATATTGTAGTCAACAGGGATCAGAGTACTATTACCTAAGGAAACTCAAATTTGTTATGCTCCAAGTTTAGTTTCCCATACATTAGTAAGAAATCATGGAGTCCTTCCCAGATCCGTAAAAGAATATTATACTTGATTGTGCAATATTGTCAATAATGTGTTATTCTTTTTATAGACATCTGAACTCAACTGGTTCTACCAGTTTTCAGTTATTAATTTTGTTTATTATACAGTAAATCAGATGTAGCTCTCTTGAGGTTTTCTTTGTTTCTTTATTCATTCTTCTTTCTAAAATAGCATATGCCTAGAAGAGACCTAACCAGCAAGAGGAAACCTTAAGGCTATCAGCTCTGCTTTTCTCCCAAAACATAAATCTTATGAATAGTCAAAGTACTATACTTCTCAATGCATTTTCATATACTCATGTTGTTTCTGAATTATCACATTAATACCCCTACCCTACACGTTTTCCCAAATTCTACATGTCCTATGTTTATTTCAATCTGTCCTTTAAAATGGTGAAAGGAACTCTAGGGAAGAGTGATGAGAAGTTGGCCTTTCTGCTACAGAGGTCCTGTCCTAAATTCTTTGTTATGGATTACACAGCAAGAAGGATGCTTGTAGCAGAGTAAATAACATACTGGGAAAGTACAAACAGCCTTTCTGTTTTCCTCTGTCAGTTCTGTAATAAGTGTATTATATGCAGAGTGATATGTACACATATTGGACATTTGTATATTACTTTTATAGTATTTTTAGAAACTTTCACATAGCAAAGAATGCAAAGCTGATTCCACTTTGGAATCGACTGTTCTGCATGAATGAAATAATGCTAGATGAGATATCCTACTCTTCATTGAACTCTTATGCTGGCTCAAAGACTCTTCTCCCAAGCCAAGTGAGCAGCAGAGTTGTTCAAAGGGAAATCATTTTCCGTAGAGAAAAAAAAAATCTAAAAGTTTTCATGCATATTAGAAGATTTGCACACTAAAATTCAAAATAATAACTGCATTATTAAAAGGAAAGGTAATTATAATATTTTATTGCAACAAAAATGGAGCTTGGACCCAAGACTTCACACATCTCTGCTGGCATGAAGAAGGAATCCTGCAGCTGCTGAGGATTATACCAAAAAAAAGTTTTGGTTTGGAAACACGGAAACATTTTCTCAGCCTGCTTTGACTTTTGGAGTGTGCTGCATTGCTGCTAATACCTACATGTAGCAAACCTTAAGGCTGACATTATCTACATATTCCCATGGCCCATCTGGGTGAAAAAAAAAAAAAAAAAAGTGTAAAGACTCCTGATGAGATGGTTGAATTTGAGATCCTCAGGACAGTGAGAAGAGCGTGCAGCAAGCTCACTGCCCTAGACTTCAAAAGAGCAGACTTTGGCCTCTTCAGGAGCCTGCTTAGTAAGGTTCCATGGGATATAGCCCTAGAGGGCAAGGGGGCTAAAGACTCTTGGTTGGTCTTCAAGGATCACCTGCTACAGGCTCAGGAGTGTTGCATCCCAACTAGAAGGAAGTGCAGCAGGAGGGCCAGGAGACCTCCTTGGATGGTTAAGGAGCTCCTGAGGAAAATTCAAATGAAAAAAAGAGTTTTATAGAAAGTGGAAGCAAGGACAGGTGGCCTGGGAAGAGTACAGGGATGTTGTCTGGGAAGCTAGGGACCAGATTAGGAAAGCTAAGGCCCAGTTAGAATTAAACTTGGCTAGGGATATTAGGGATAACAGGAAGGGATTCTACAGGTACATAGCAAATAAAAAACAGATTAGGGAGAACGTAGGCCTGCTCAGGAAGCTCTCAGGTGAACTAGCTACACAGGATTTGGAGAAGGCTGAGGTTCTGAATGACTTCTTTGCCTCAGTCTTCTCTAGCAAAGGCTCTGACCACACCACCCAAGTCTTGGAAAGCAGACACAGGGACTGTGAGAATGGAGACCTTGGGCCCACTATAGGAGAGGAAATGGTTCAAGACCATCTTAAAAATCTGAACGTGCACAAGTCCGTGGGTCCTGATGAAATCCATCCAGGGGTCCTGAAGGAGATGGCAAATGAAGTTGCTAAGCCACTGGCCATCATATTTGAAAAATCATGGCAGTCAGGTGAAGTTCCCGACGACCGGAAAAAGGGGAATATAACCCCTGTTTTCAAGAAGGGGAAAATGGATGACCCAGGGAATTACAGACCAGTCAGTCTCACCTCTGTTCCTGGCAAAATCTTGGAGCAGATTCTCCTGGAAGGCATGCTAAGGCACATGAAAAACAACAAGGTGCTTGGTGACAGCCAGCATGGCTTCATTAAGGGGAAATCCTGCCTGAAAAATTTGGTCGCCTTTTATGATGGAGCTACAGAACTGATGGACAGGAGGAGAGCAGCTGATGTCATCTACCTAGATTTGTGTAAAGCGTTCGACACTGTCCCACACGACATCCTTGTCTCTAAATTGGAGAGACATCAATTTGATGAATGGACCACTCAGTGGGTAAAGAACTGGCTGGATGGCTGCATACAAAGAGTTGTGGTCAATGGCTCAATGTCCAGCTGGAGACCAATAACGAGTGGTGTCCCTCAGGGGTCAGTGTTGGGACCAGACTTGTTTAACATCTTCATCACTGACATGGACAGTGGGATTGAGCGCGCCCTCAGCAAGTTTGCTGATGACACCAAGCTGTGTGGTTCGGTTGATACGCTGGAGGGAAGGAATGCCATCCAGAGGGACCTTGACACACTTGTGAGGTGGGCTGATGCCAACCTCATGAAGTTTAACCATGCCAAGTGCAAGGTCCTACACCTGGGTCGGGGCAATCGCAGACACAGCTACAGGCTGGGCAAAGAAGAGATTCAGAGCAGCCCTGCGGAGAAGGACTTGGGGGTGCTGGTCGATGAGAAAATGAACATGAGCCGGCCTCAGTGTGCGCTTGCAGCCCAGAAAGCCAACTGTATCCTGGGCTGCATCAAAAGGAGTGTGACCAGCAGGTCGAGGGAGGTGATCCTGCCCCTTTATTCTGCTCTCATGAGACCTCACTTGGAGTATTGTGTGCAGTGCTGGTGTCCTCAACATAAAAAGGACATGGAACTGTTGGAACAAGTCCAGAGGAGGGCCACAGGAATGATCAGGGGACTGGAGCACCTCCCATATGAAGATCGGCTGAGAAAGTTGGGGCTGGTCATCCTGGAGAAGAGAAGGCTGTGTGGAGACCTCATAGCAGCCTTCCAGTATCTCAAGGGGGCATATAGGGATGCTGGGGGTGGACTCCTCATTAGGGACTGTAGTGATAGGACAAGGGGTAATGGGTTAAAACTTAAACAGGGGAAGTTTAGATTGGATATAAGGAGGAAATTCTTTCCTGTTAGGGTGGTGAGGCACTGGAACGGGTTGCCCAAGGAGGCTGTGAATGCTCCATCCCTGGCCAGTGTTCAAGTCGAGGTTGGACAAGGCCTTGGGTGATATGGTTTAGAGCTAGGTGTCCCTGCCCATGTCAGGAGGGTTGGAACTTGATGATCTTAAGGTCCTTTCCAACCCTAACCATTCTATGATTCTATGATTCTAATTGCTTGCACAACAACAAGCCTTCAGCAAGCAGAAGATAATGGTAAAAAAAGTGCCAAAACCTCATGACCTTTTGCACACCCTTGGATCCTTCTTCTTCTTGTTACCCATTTTGTTGGGAAACAACTAACAAGTGCATTATGTGCATTCTGTACATGGGACAAATGGTTACATGTGAAGAACACACTGAATGATTCCTTTGTACATAAAATATCCAGCAGCATACTCTTGTTTGTTATGCAAGCTAATCAAACCCCCTCCCATTCTTTATATATTCAGTATACTTAAATAAAAATGTCTTTTTGTATTCAATATATTTAATATTTAAGCATTTGTATTCTTGTTTTATGAATAAATCGGGGTGGGGAGATTATTTTATACCTATGATCTGGTCCTCCAAACCTATCCTTACATGAATGCCTTTGATTTCAGGGATGTAGATTTTAAAGTGTAGAATACTGAACTTTCAATATATGGCCTGATCTTTTCTTCCCCATAAAAAACTTTTATTTGCTACCCAGGTCAAAACCTCCTGCTTACCTTGGTGTGGACATTTCCTATTCTCTGTATACTTAAATTCCCACCAGTGTGGAAAACAGTCAATGTAATCAAGCACAGTAATTCAAACTCATCCTTGGTAAATCAGAGAACTGACACTGCATTTAGCATGATACGTCAGCTGCACTTGTGACTGAATTCTTCCTTTGTAAAGCTCAGATAAATATCACAGTAAGTTATGTTGATGGTACGTCTGCATGTGACAGAGTGGACTGGCATCAAAACTGTGCACCATCCTATGAAAGAGTTGACCTAAAGCTCAGGCATTTTGAAAATGAGATTTATTTTTTTTTGCTTAGATTATTTTATTTGCAAATACATTACTAAATGTCTGATTTTATTACTGAAATGCTGGCCTAGATTAACAGATTTCTAATTCTACTATATCTGTAGATGGTTTTAAAATGAGTTCAGTATATTACTGCATTCTCTTGAATAAAAATGAGCAAAAAAGTATGCAGCATGGATTGTAATTGTGAAGTTATGAAGAAGACTAAGGTAAGAAAAATAGGCTTACCCTGAATTACAGAAACAGTTCCATAGACCTTGACCATGGCTCCAAAGTAAGCGATTAAATACACGGTTAAAGAGACGGTAAAGATGTAAATTTTCAATGTCTGGAGCCTTCCAGACATGCTGTAGAACTGCACGAACACTTGTCTTGACTATATCCAAAATCTAGAAAAGAGTATTCCAGCCAAATCAAAGCGAAGGAATATTGCAAAACCTAAACCAAAGTGGTTTCTGATTCACTGCACACATACACGCACGCAAACACACACACAGATGACTGCATAGCTATAAATTCCCACAGATGTCTGTTTCATTTCTGTGCATTCATCAGCAAACTTTTATGATATGCTTTTCTGTCAACATTTCACAAAGCCAAGTAAAAATATTTTTCTTACAGTAAAGTTCATTTCAATTTTTTTCAGTTCAACACTAGTTCATTTAAGTAACAAAAAAGTTTAAAAAGGAATAAAATGGACACAATTACAGACTAGCAGCAATATAATTAACAATCCAAATATTATCTATTTGAAGAGTGTATCTTTTTCCCCAGTTTCTTTTAAAATACCATCTAAAGAACTAAAACGTTCTGAAAAGCTACAAATTGCTCTTAGCATCAACGTCTGTTTAAGCTCAGTGTTACCCTAGATCAAGCCATATTAGTTTAGGTTTCATGCAGGAAATATGTAGTGAAATAAGTAATAAGAAAACAACCAGCAAGATACTCAAAATAGCTGTTTTTATAGAAATGCAACAAATTTATTGCATACAGACTACATTTAAATGCAATGCGTAAAGATGTGGGTGAAGAAAATGCTAAGCTGCATTCAGTATAGCACTGAGCAGTCTAGACAGTAAGTCTTAACTACTCAGTGCACACACATGCTTATAAGGTAGTTGAACATCCAACTCACTGTAGTCCTCTTGGATACATCTTTGCACATCCCATTGAATCGGGACACGAAGATGGGATTTATCTTGCCTAGTTTTAAACATCTGTGCATCCTCTTAAGTCAGGCCTCTAGGTTCCCTCCATAATCACTGGAGAGAAACAAGCTCCAGAGTGTCTTGGTTTCTGTCTAGTTAGATACTGTCAATAAGACTGGGAACAGTTTTGTGACCAAAGCAGCATTTAGGCTCCACACTGGCACCCTGAACAGTATAAAATCTGTCCTAAAAAAAGCTTATGATGCACGTAACTTGCTAACAAAAAAGTCAGTTAAATCAACATGATTTCTTACAGAGACATTCTTATTGCCTCTTTTGCAAAACAGACTCAAGTGGGCGGGGAACCGATGGAGGTATTCTTTATTTGGTGTAAGATGTTGCAAATTAGAAGGCGTAATAATACTTTCCCAGGAAACTTTGAGATCTCTATGACAATCTGATTCACATAGTGAAACATCTGACACTCAAAAGGTGAATGAAATTTAATAGAACAGTAAAGTATGGAAACATGGTAAAGAACTGCAAGTTTTGGTCCCGGAAAACTTGTTTCTAAATAGCCTGATTAGACATGATGAAGGAAACAAAGCACAGATAAACAAAACGCAATAGAACAATGAAGCTACATAGTAAAGAGTAATGCTTAATGTGCAGAAAATCTGCAGATATGTGATAATGGCAACCTTGATGAAATGTGTCATTTAAATGTTATTTAACCTCTTTTTGAAGACGTAGGAGTAGTCTGCAAGCACAGGTCTTGCACTAATTCCATATGCATAATAACCCAATGCAAGTACAGTGCACTGTATTCTCTCTGCTGAGAATCTTTATGAATGCAGGTGTCCAACATGTTAAAAAACCACACCTATGGTCTCTTCCTCCCAGAGTGAGATAAAGAGAGTAGTAAAATATAACCTAGGAATGGTGACCTTGTTTAGTAACTGCAGGAGCTAAGCCCAGGTTTTAGACTGCTCCATGGAACCCTGGAATGGGCCAAGATTTTCAGACATTCCTTTAGCAGCATTAGTCTACTATCTTAATACTTCTCAAGCAGTCTTTTCACTGTGTCTTGCCTAAATTAAGTCTTTCCCCACACAAAAGGCCAGCTGTGATTGTATACATCCATTTGAATCTAGTTACTAAATTACATAAGGGATCATCTACACATTCCTTTGAAATGTTACACTGACTGATAGTAATTTATCTGTGTGTGTAAAACAGAACAATTCCACCCCACACAGATTCTCAGTAGTCCAAAAGACATGAAGTAAGGACTATGATGCCAGTGTAGAGCTGTTTTCTTTTACTTTACCACCTGCAGTTGAAGAAAACTAAGGACTGAACCTTGCATCTTAAAGCAAGCTGAAAACTACAAGGTACTCTGGGAGAGAAAAACAACAAACCAACTTTTTTGTTGTTTTTACTGTGTTGATATTGCCAATATGCCAGAGGGGAAACATGTCTCAGTTAATTGTTCTTAATTTGCAACCATGGTCTCAATCATCCATTTAAGAAAAGAGACAAGGCATCTTGAGCTGGAACTTCATGAAACCTACATCCTCATTTTTCAGAGTTAATTTCCCTAGCTTGCCTTCATCTTCCTGTTTAATTTACATCATTTACTTTAACATAACCAATTATCTAGGTGTAATAGAACAAGATGTTATGAAAGACCGTATTCAAAACCCTCTGGTAACCATCAAAACACTTTTAAAGAAATTACGTAAAGTGATGTAACACGAAGCAGTCTCAGCTCCTCCCATACAAGTCTCTCTTTCCTATGTCTTGGGAGACTAAATTTCACTTTAGCATCAGTTTTTTCTCAACCTGCTTCTAAATGCCTTCTGTAGCTCTGCTGTAATGACAGAATATTACACACTAAGAATATGAGCAGAAGTTAAATTTTTCTATGTCGTGTTGAATAACTGTTAAGCAAATATAGCTGTCAGGGATGAACATTGTGAAACCTAGTACATTGCGCAGGTATTTTCTTCTTGTGTGTTAGAATTTCCTTGTAAGTGTAGTAAAGGGGACTGAGTTTCTGTTTTATGTTTCACAAAGTTGCAGAAGGTACCTTTGAGACAGATTCCTTACTTGCATAAATACTCTCCACCTTGAGCTCACTTCTCCTTTATCCACCTCATTGGAATATAAAACATACTTCTTTCAAATCAACAAAAGCTTACACATTTAGCAGTCCTCAGCTGCAATGTCATTGTCAAAGTTAATCCATTTTTATAAACTACCTTTCTAAGAATAACTATCTGATTGCTTGAAGGGATTGAGGTTAAAAGCAGTTTAAAAAAATAAAGGCAAATCATTTCCAGTGCAAGCAAAGATGAAGGGCCCACTAATGCTTTCAGGAATTATAAGTCTCCTAAGTTTTAAAAGATGTCCTTACAGGAAGAGCAAAGAAATCCACATTTCTGATTGTGCAGTTTTTGCTAATAACAATCTGGCATATCAACTTGTATCATCCTGACTTTGTACACGTGCCCTTGGATTGTCAGTCATATAGAGGACAGAACTAACCTTTATTGTTGGCTTTCTAAAATGTTGAAATGAGAAAATTCTGAATAGACTGGGAAAAAGAAAAAAACAAAACAAAACAACAAAACTTAAGAAAACAAAACCAAAACAAAGTAAGCAAACAAAACCAAAATCAGACAGACACAGCTAAATTAAGGCAGACGCCCAAAAGGAGCTTAGGAAAATTAGTTGAAGAATGTATAGTAAAAAGTGTCAGTCCCTCAAGAAGCAAATTTATCACTCTCCCTGTGGCAACGCCTTCTCAAAGTTATGACTCATGGGGAAAGGTTGGAAAAGACACCTTAACCAGTCTTGTGTGAAAGCCCCATTATCTCAGTTGCAATGGTGGGCCCAATCTGGTGATTTATTTCCATGCTTGTGACATCATAGATTAAAGCGAGCAATTCCAGTAACATGTCCCTGTCCCCCACCAGTTCCAACTGTCACAAAGATTCTTGCTGAGAATATGACATCTCCACTGTAACAGCAATGTGAATTTTGGGCCCTATTATGTATGTATTTATGTATGTATGCATGTACTTATCTGTTCCTCCCTCCTAGCAGCTCTTTCTTGGTATCACCGTTTTCTACAAGCCCTACTAAGAGTCTCTCTGGTTTGGGGCTAAAGGCTAAAATTGCCAAATGCACACAATAGAGAAGACCCATGAACATGTATATTGGGGTTACAGCACTCTTTCCTGTAATTAAAAAAAATGAGATCACTTTAAGCAAAGGACTATTCAGTAGAATAACTGTAGACGTCAAACAAGAAATAACACAATTCAGCCAATGGAGATGGCTGCTATACTGATTCCTGTCAACAGCAGAATAATTCTGCTAAGTAGTAGAGCTGTGCTGCCATTTGACATGGTTTGGGAAGAATTTTGATTAAACTATATCCTCCTACATTTCCAAGTTCTTCAGTTTGTCATGTGTAATTTAGTTTTATAAAGCTGTGTGGACACATTAACTCCATTTAATACCTGAACTTAAATTGACTAGTCAAATATAGTTCTATCTGATGACATCACACTGAATGAACGTTTTCTCTGTCCAGTATGAAAATACAAGCATTTAATGAAATATTCAATAAAATACAATTTGAAAGACTGAGGATCATACTGCTGATTTTATATAAAGTAATTTGAGATTAGGATCTAAAATAGTTCTTCTGTTCTTCTATAACAATCTACCAACCTTTTCCATTTTTAATATTTATCATGTATACAGCATTTTGATTGTCTCTTTCTTTTATGGTCTATAAAAATAGATTGTGAAACTGAGATTATATGCCTAGGCCTGATATGCTAATCCACATAATGTGTCAGTGACTGAGGCAGAGAAAGACCCAAAATACTGCATTAGGGGCACCAAAGTATTACTAATAGATATAATTTCTGCTATATTAACGAAAACAGATATTACACTGGGAAGATTATTTTGACTGACAGATGACATACAGATATGACTGACATACCAGCGTAAATCAGCTTTTAAACAGATTAAAAACTCCTTAGATGCTATGCACAACAGTAGCTCCTAGATACCAGATGAGTGAAGGCAGAATGATAAATATAATTACTCCTTTGCAAGACTAAACCAGTTGAACATTATAACAATGTCAATAATCTTTGCTTGGTAGATCTATTTTTTTCTTAACATGATCTTCATAATACTGTGGGTCAGAGATTTAAATAACCAAGTATGGTATCACTAAGTCTAATGAAGTTTTGATATGCCTGGTCTGAAACTGCTGAATGGTTCATCCCTTATCAATCAAATCTTCTGAATCTATACACTTCTAAGAATGTTTGCAAAATCAGGCATTTAAGCACTAATCATTTATTTGTTTGCTTTTCTTTCAAGAGACTAATCTTCTAAGGAATTGTTTTTGAAATTATATTCCAGGATAATTATGCTTATCTAAATATGGAGCAACATAATTTCCTGCAATGGAATTAATTTGTATATATGTTAGTATTAATAGCCAGCATTTTAGTATCTCAAGTCACACCCAGCTACTGCTAAACACCAGTAGAAATACTGGTATGTGTCTGCTTCAGATGTTCTTCAGAAAATGAAATATAGGTCACTTACTTTTCGTTGTTTTACAGAATCCAGTTTTATCAACCAATAGGATGCCACTTTTGTTTTGTGATACTTCCAGTTATCCATGATCTGTAGTCATTGCAAAATACAAAATAAAAGAAAAACACATAAAACCAACTGAAATCTGGCATTTCATTCACGAGCACTGCTAATGCTAAAAAACAGAAAAATATTTGCAAATTTATATGGGCGAACATTTGCACAGATGTGTGCAATCTTTCAGTTTAATCCTACCCTCTTTTCCACCTGATTCTGACATTCATACACTATAAAGCAGGTAAAATCTTTTCTTGAATGACTCAATTTAGATTCCTTGACCACAGCAATAAGTTCAATAACTGTTAATCTAGTTAATAGTGAGGGGTTCTGCTGCATAAAGGACATTAGACATCCTTGGAAAACATCCTTTCTATACATGATCATATACATTAACGGCAATATGCTGCTTTTATGATGTCTAAGTGCTACCAAAATAGCTTAAGCTGTGAATATACAGTTTAATTTTATGTTATCCTTCTATTCTATCCCAGACTATGACAAGTTCTAACTGACAACTATTATGCCGTTACTTTTTTCCTTCCATTATGAAATATTATTTCCCATCAGAAACTAGTTGAGACCAGAAGAATTTATAAATGAATTCTGCAATAATATAGTATTTATAACCATGCTAACATTGCATAAGAAAGCACCACTAGATGGAGTGCATACACACACACTCCCATACATACAGATATGAACACACACTTATCTGAAAGTGAAAATGTAATGAAAAATTTTATTTCTATTTCTAGGATGAGAAACTCAGTATCCTAGTTATGAATACTGTCGTCCAGAATCACTCAAATCAACTGTTGCTACAGGAGAATTCCCTTCCACTCTGGTGTAGTTGCACAGATTGCTGGAGGCATAATCAACATTTTGAAAGCACGCAGAGCAAAGGACAGCACTGGATGGACAATGAATTAGATTAGTTTTAACATACTGTGCTCACTACAACAGAATACAAGTGTTAATGTAAGTTACTAGATACCTCCATATTTTTACTAGACTGCTCTAAGCAAACCTGCCTTGGCAGGGGGGTTGGACTAGATGATCTTCAGAGGTTCCTGCCAACCCTAACAATTCTGTGATTCTGTGAAAAGAGCCTCTATCTTCATTCATTTCTTTTCCCAGCTGATGTTAGTTTCTTTGCAGTAGATATTTAAAAACAATTTAGGTAACCTGTATTTTCTGCTTAGATGTCTTCATATTAGATACTGCTTTTTAATTGCCCTTTAGATTGGGCATCGTTTCATGTGGCTTTGGTATCAAATTATGAGGCTCGGGACAATGCTGGATGTAAGAAAGGGTAACATGGCAGACTAGATGAGCCAAAATGAATGTGACTAGTGATTACCAAAATATGACTACCAAACTTCTAGTATGTCTTGCAGCATGCCATTCCAAGTTCTCTAGTGTGTCTATGCAAGAGAAGTTAAACATGTCAAGATCTGTACTAACAATATCAAATGAAATATGAATTGTAACATTCTTCTTAGCTTACTTCAAAGTTTGAACTTTTTCCACAATGAAAAACTGAATTTTCCTAAACTTCGTGATGGTTTCTGATATATAGGAATGTTTTCAGTGCTGCACTTTTAAGGTCAGAAAGCATACAAAGCTCCAAGCTTTTGAAATCTTTTGAACTGAGTTTTGGAAGTTTCAAGGCCACAGGAGCTCATGAATCACAAATTAAGCTATTTTCCTTCTTTTAGTGGCCTAAACAATAAGTGTCCAGCCTGTTATTCTTTTCTTATTTATAGATACTTACATCTTCTATAATGAATTCTGATTCTTCATCTGTTTTGCCTGGGAACTTCATTCTCATGTCATTGATAATTAGAAGAGTTTCTTTTGTTAAAGCAACTTCTTGCTCTTTCGTTTTCTGTTGCAGCAAAGACTCACTCTAAAAACCAATATGAAGCAGAGGAAAAAAATCAGGCATGTCGTTAGATCACATTACAAAGGTGTTTCCTTGACAAAAATAAATTCTAAATAGGGTGACATGTATTAGTAAACTGTATAGACATTATTTAATACGTAACTAATATATACACATATGCCTCACCTACATTAATGCATCACCGTTACTTATAGTTGTCAAGGAATTAAAGAAAAACTGTTCAAATATTTGTTGGAAACAGAATAAAGAAATATTTCTTTATTTAACGAAATATAGATTCAATATTTATGATTTATTTTAAAATATGAATTTGAAATGTAGATAGCAGACTTGGAATTTATATTCAGCATAATAAAAAAATTATTAGTCATAAAAAGCTTCCTTTCAGTTCTGCATTGCAACAATTTAACAAAAACTGCCAATTATGTATCACTGTGCCAAGATTTCAGGAAGCATTAAAAAGTCAGGACACTTTGCTCCTACTGTGGTCAGTGGGGGTTCTGACAGTGCCTTTGATTGTCCATGATTCTGTTTAAAATAGCAGTGCTTTTGATAGCAACACCAGCTTGAACCCCTACAGTGTCTAAGACCATCTCTGGAGGGTTTGAGGGTTTTCTTTAAATCTTAGGCTCTAGTTCTGATCCTCTTTCTTTACTTTTGCATTTGCAAAATTAAGTGGGCTTAATTTTACATTTTTTTAAGCATGAAATTTTTAGGCATTTCTAAATCTTTGTATTTTGTAAGAACCTCCAATACTTACTGTGGGATATTTTTGCTTAAGTAGGTGATAAATATTTTCAAGCATAACAAAATATTTTATTATATGATGCAAAATAACGTGGTTGAAATAATAACATAGCAGGTATCTCCAAGTCCACCTTTGTCTATAACTCTTATAATAATGTGGCCGTAATTCCTAACGGTAAATGGCTCATTCTATAGTTTCCATACTTTTAGAACATTTGGATCTAAGCAGCCTCCAAAAAATGGCAATATACTGCTTTTTCTTGCCCAAAAGATATATAAACTAATACTTTATCACACACAAATTATTTCTTCTTAGTAAGTTACAATATATCAATTTTTAATTTATTCTAGCAGTAATATATAGTATATTATTCTTAGTTGTAAAAATTATTATGAGTTCCATTCAGAATACAGTGCTAAATTATGAGCGCTTCCTATCCATTCTGTAAGTAATTTTATTCACATTATTTTAAGAAGCATGACCTAAGCTCTATCACCCAACATACTGTTCTGGATATCAAGATAGTTTCCATGGTGGAGCTCTCCCAGTGAAAAAGAGACTATTGTTTCTTACTAATGTTAATTAAATGACTAGCCCATTTTTAATGTCAGATGGTAAGAGACTGGTTTTAATCTTTCAGTAATTTGTATTTGATATAAAGTTAATGTGAATAGAAAAATCTATATTAGCCCTGTCTCATTAAACTCTCAGAGTACATCTTGATGATAAAAGGGTAGTTTTTAAACTTGAGATAGCTAATGTGATAAAAAATACCTTTAATGCATCGTGGTGAAGACACACTCCTAATGTCTTTCCAATTCTATTAGCTGACTTTAAAGATGGAAAACCATGTTAAGGAGTATTTCACAAGATGTCAGCACGCAATTTTAAAAGGATCTTTTTTCATCATTTAGACAAAATCTCACAGGCAAAACAGACAATGAGTGTTCTACCAGACAGAAATGATGATTAGAGACAGTAAACACTAGGAAGCAAGTTAATTAGGATTTCTCACAGCCAAAGCTCACCACAATGGAGAAAGGCTGCAAATATGGGTTAAAAGTTCCAATTTGTTTTCCCCATTTCCAGGTGAATTATTTGGGTGATGAAATATGTAGGTCAGGCACCACAGCATGAATGGTAATACACTGGCACCAGCACACAGTACAGTACTGAACGACTGTGGACTGATCCCAGCAAACACTACCTAGGGATAAGTGGATATGTGGTCCATCATGCAAACACAAAAGAAGAAATGCGTGGGCTGTGAAGGAGACACCAAAGGGGATGACAGTCTGGTCACAAAAGAAAAAAAACATATGATTCCGAAGTACGTTGTGAAATTACAATGAGCCATACAAATTTTAAGCAGCTAAAAGTGTTTAATCTGATTTATTAATTCTATTAATTATTTAGTTTGACTACCTGGGTCTAAATGTTTATCTGTCTTAGGGACAGGCTTCAAAATGAAAGAAGTTTATCTTCACTTAAAAAAAAAAAAAAGATGGCTTCTAAGACAGTTATTGCAGCGGCAAATCCTAAAGATAACAAGGACTACCTATAAATTTGAAAATGTTAACTTTGGAAGTAGAGCTCTACTCCAGTGGTATACTGTATGCAAAATAGATACAGTTGGTTGAAAATTAATTAGACCTTCTTCTCCAATGGACACTCATACGAAGTTTTACTAATGTCTTATTCTGGTACAATGTATTTAGCCTTGTATTATACACTGGTTTTGAATTTTGATTACAACAATACTGATGTATTGTTATTATTGTAAAGGTTTTGAAGGTAGGTACATCCTTATTTCAGAACCAACAGTCCTCAAACAAACCAGATGAACTTTTTAAGGGAGGGAAAAACTTTCTATAGTCAAAAAACTGTTTCTCAAAAACTGTAACATCTCTATTGCAACACCAGAAACTGAAACATCACATCTAGCACTCACTGTAAGTCATCATAGAATCATAGAATGGTTAGGGTTGGAAAGGATCTTAAGATCATCAAGTTCCAACCCCCCGCCATAGGCATGGTCACCACACACTAAACCATGTCACCCAAGGCTCTGTCCAACCTGGCCTTGACCACTGCCAGGGATGGAGCATTCACAACCTCCCTGAGCAACCCGTTCCAGTGCCTCACCACCCTTACAGTAAAGAACTTTCTCCTTATATCCAATCTAAACTTCCCCTGTTTAAGTTTTAACCCATTACCCCTTGTCCTATCACTACAGTCCCTAATGAAGACTCCCTCCCCAGCATCCCTATATGCCCCCTTGAGATACTGGAAGGCTGCTATGAGGTCTCCACGCAGCCTTCTCTTCTCCAGGCTGAACAGCCCCAACTTTCCCAGCCTATCTTCATACGGGAGGTGCTCCAGTCCCCTGATCATTCTCGTGGCCTCCTCTGGACTTGTTCCAACAGATCCATGTCCTTTTTATGTTGAGGACACCAGCACTGCAGACAATACTCCAGGTGAGGTCTTACGAGAGCAGAGGGGCAGGATCACCTCCTTCGACCTGTTGGTCACGCTGCTTTTGATGCAGCCCAGGATATAGTTGGCTTTCTGGGCTGCGAGCGCACACTGCTGGCTCATATTATGTTTCTCATTGACAAACACCCCCAAGTCCTTCTCTGCAGGGCTGCTCTGAATCTCTTCTCAGTCCAACCTGTGGCTGTGCCAATATGTAGGTCTAGAGATCTTATATTCCTGCATTTCTGTCAAAATACCATTGGCTATAGTACCTCAGTTTTCTAACACTGTAAGATTCGTAAGGTATTTATTGCATTTTACAGCAATAGAACTCATTTTGAATGGAACTGCTGTTAACTCACCCCTGAGGAGTTCATAGTTCCCACGCTGGATGTCTGAGAGACCCTGGCCGAAGTAGGGCTACGACTTAAAGAATGAGACCTATTCACTGAAGATGCACGCTGCATTTGCAGAGATGTTTTGGCTGAAAAGGGACGTTGCTCAGCTGCCTGTGACTGCATAGTCAATATTGATATTGAACGAGGGCAACTTACAGAACGTCTTATTGGACCTGTGGATGACGTAGGGGATGAATTTGACAGAGATTTTGTATTTTTAATTGAAGGTTTCCAGTTCGTTCTACCTGCAGACAAATGAAATGAATGATGTAATTATTTCTTACTCTCTTAACACCCATTTGTCACTCTTTGTAACTATCAGCATGTATGACCAACGGACGTGCACATACATGGTACTTTACTGTATGTTAACTAACTGCATCTGTAACAGTCAGTGGTGTCAGATTCCCTAATAATATATACTTTACATATTCTATAAGATCATTTATTTCTTCCTCATAGTCAGCTTTAATCAGGTAGACTCCAGTCCTCCATAACATCCATCAGATGCTCTATAGGTCAAGAAGTATATGGCTACTGTGTGTGGCTCCCTGACTGTAAGAGTACAGAAGCAGTAGATAAAATTTGATTGATGACCCTGTATTTGCAGATCCAGCTCCTGCAGAGCTGTTGTCTTCTGCTAAATAAAGAATGCTGCTATGAAAAATAAAATTTTAAAAGCAGCATTATATGTAATAATATGATTGAGACAATACCATGCTAAAACAAAAAGATAACATGCTATATCTACCATGTTCAACAGAACATGCTCACACTAATGCCTTGCAGCAAGGAAGAAAACAATCACACAAAAAACCTGCAGGGATCTCACCTGGAATAAATTACTTTCTACATGTCTCCAGATAAATTTATTTATCCTTTCTATATTCCAGTGAATTCAAGCTTAATAAGACTATCTTTCACAGAAAAAAAAAAATAAAAAATTCATTCACACCGTTTCCAAGTGCAGCTCAGGTGTATCTTTCTTTCTTTCTCTTTAGCATTCCCGGCAAAAGAATATTCTTTTTTTCTGGTTTTTCTTTTTAATTTTTATTTATTTTCATTCATTTACAAAATATTTTAGAGATGACAAAACAAGGAAAGCAGTGTTAAACTGGTTACAACTGTTGATGCATTCTACAATACTGAAGCATTTCATATAAATCATTGTAAATGCCAGGCTTACTTGGAAAAGTGATCATTTAACTTACCTGATCGTTCCAAAGATTTGTATTTATTTTCTTCAAGATCATATGAAACCTTTTTCTCTTTTTTTTCATTGTGATCTTCCTTTTGATCTTCCTTTTCAGTTTCTTCTGCTGATTCTGAAATACTACTACTGCTATCGCAAGTACTATCACTATTGTAGTACTTAAGTTTCCTTAAGGGCTGTGCGCTTTCTGGCATTGAATACAGGGGCTAAAGAAAAAAAAATAGAAAGAAAAAACACCCAAGAAATTAATTTTTTTTTCAGAATCGCAAAAGAATGCCTTACTATCACACTAGATCCCTGATTCAGGCAGGTTCATTTGTACATATTTAAAATTAGATAGGAAGTTTGTCCTTAATTTTAGAAAAAGTGCTTAAATATTCACTACACAGTGAACATCTTATCTTTCTTACATGAACAGCAGCATAACATAGTAAAGGAAAAAGAAATGTTCTATTTCAAGTATCACAATACCAGACATATTGAATCATAAATCAAGCGATACAGAATACATTTACAATCAGTTTCAATCCCTCACTGATATTTGCAATAACTGAAGCTATAGCTTAGCAGTGATCAATGCGAAGTAAAGAAATACATCGGGGAACTCTGGCAGGCATTCGTCTGAAAGGGAAAGTGATTAATCCACATCCTGCAGAAAGGAGAAACTGTAAGAATATAGCAAGCTACAGTAGGTGGGTTTGGTGTCCCATACGCACATGGGATTCAGTGTCATTGGGTAATTAATCTTGTGCTATTACCAATACTGACACAAAAATCAAAACATATGACACAGAGAAACTGATGGAAGAACAGAAACTACAAATGAAAATATTTCTTTTTCCACCTACCATCAGGCAGACAAAAAAAAAAATGCCATATCCTCCATTATATTTACTATCCTAAGAAAACTTATGTGGTCACTTTTTTTCTGTACCCATTTTCTTTCCAGTAATTTTCTCTCAGTCACAATAACCTACAGTGTGGTCTCATCTTCATAGTCTTCTAATTGACTCCAATTAAAACTCAGATTAAGAAAAAATTGTTATTATAATTCCTGAACATATTTTGGGTCAGAGTGAAACAGAAGAACTCTCAGGGTGAATTTAAATTGCCCTATTATCTTAGCATAATGTAATGCACCAAGATTTATTGTGAAGGGCAACAGAAAAAAGCCCCAAGATATCCTGCAAGATACACTCTATAAGTGAACATATTCTACCTAAACTTCTGCTCCAGCCAACGAAGGAAAGAGATTTCTGCCATTAACTTAAAATCAAAACTGTTTATGCAAGCCCAAGCTGCTAGACCAGATAAGAAAGAGCTGAAGAAGAATATTCCATTGAGAAGAGCCCTGGCAATTGTTCAGGTACACAGGGAGTACATTGATATCTACTTGCCAAAAGGAGAAACTAAGGTGCCTCAACACCTACTGCTTTCTCAAAAATCCTAATCCTATCAGTCCTAATCCCAATACGCTGTGTATCACAGATATATTGATTAAGCATTCCTGATGATTTATAAAAGGTATAATAAACATTTTCAGTGAGAACTCACAGAGGCTTTAAAGTAGATCTCACTCTCACTTGTCATATACGTGTTCCTCACACATTTTACACTAAACAGTAAGAACATCCTGGCCAAGACTTCACATCAATTAACAAAGAAGAATAAAAAGAAATGTCAAGTAAATTACAAAAAGAAATAATAGCTAGATCTGGGTTTAAACTGACCTCTTAAAATAAGAGATACTTGATTGCACGGCAATTCTAATCACCTTGATTTCCCCTGATGCTAACCTGATTTTTCTTTGATTAAACTCATCTCATTTTATACCAGAATAATAAAAATAAGAGTAATTGCTCGTTTCCTCTAAAATATCTGTTATTTCCTTAGTTCTTTATCCTGCACAAAGAGGTGCAATAAAATAAACATGACTAAACCTTGCAGTGTGTAAGTGTAAGGTGCCCTCTAGAGGCTAGAAACAAAACAAACATTTTCAGAAGGCATTTGTCATTGTAAGTAGAATTTAGTAATATTTTAATAGCAATCCAAAACGCCTTCATTCTGTGAAATTCTTATCTTTTTTCCTACTCTGAGCTCTTAATTACATTCAAATAAAAATAAGGTTGACATTCCTAGCAAATATGGAATAGTTATTACATGCAAAGCTTATGCCTGTAGCCCTCATAAACAGATGTATGTACATATGTATAAATGCCTATGTGTGCATATATATGTTTCTATGTATGGAGGGGGGTGGGAAGGAAAATGCTTTTCTCTCCTAACTATTCCAGCTGTTCTGTATAGTTTTCTGAGTCCTGACTCATCTTTTTTCCAAGGAAGAGAGTGTGCCCAAGGCAGAGCATCTGCCAGTAGCTTCTGTCAGCAGGCCAGCCAGTGACTTTTAATGGAGGAGAGGACTCCGCGATCTGTGGAAAGAATCTTTCATATTGGGTAACACGACATCAAAATTACTGTTCCTCAGGTTTGTTTTGTCAATTAGATCTTGCATATGTTACTTCTTTGCTATGCTAATAGATCTTTATTTGTGGGATTTTATGACTACAAGAAAGTGAGTTTTACAGTTGGATTATTCCCTTACCTGATAGATTACTGGGCAAAAGTAAATTCTACTGCCTACCTCACTCACCAGATTTCTATACAGATATATGTTTAGATACTACATATCTCATAACAGATCCTTCACAAAAAGATGGCCAATTAAATGCGTATTATTAGTCATATGCACCTTACCCCTTACAGGAAAAAGGTGATGCTCTTTTGGTCAAAATACAAGGACCATCCGCAATGGTCATCTGTATTTCAAAGGAGTGCATAGGATATTACGCAACCAGGGAAGTCTCTCACATGGCTTCAGTGTAGGTATGGTTTAAATGATTGAGAAGTGTACCAGGACCCTGAAAAACATGCAGTAATAGAGATCCTGCATGAAGTGTGCATACTGCAAGGAAAATAAACAATCTCCTTGGATATGCTAGTTTCATTGCCTTCACTTTTGATTTGATTGGTCTTATGAGAAGAAAAATTAAAAAGGTAGAATTTTGGTCTTCAGCAGTTTTTTCTTTCTCCTATAATTGCAAACAATATTGTAATGGTAAAGCAGCTTGTGAACTACAGAAACCATTTGCCTCCTATAAATTAGGACCATGTCATATAGTCTCACTCAGAAATTAATTAGTTTTAAGATGAAGCTTGATCAAGAAAGGCTTATCAATTTGGGCTCAATACCCTCTTAAATGTTTATGGCCTTCAGCTTGGGAACGGCTTGTGTGCAACCAGTGTAGAGATAGTATAGATCAAGTCTGTGTGCACACAGTCAATCAGACAGATGACCTCTGAGGGCTGCTGGGAAAAGACAGGCTTCTGGGAAAAAAGGAAATACGTGACTGAGAATAAACTTGACTTAAGTGACCCTGTGTTAAAGAACTGGAAAAAAAAGTCTCAAGGAAAAAATCCCTGAAGAATGTAGATTGAGTTTGTTGCTGGGTGGACTTGACTTTTTTTTCCTCTCTTCTTTAAATGAATCTACCACTGTTAAAACACTAGCTCACAAAAATCCCCATATTGGTAATGAGGTTCCTGCAAATCTATCTTAATACCAGACTGGGTACGCAGATCCTCTTTCCAGCATGCATGCCTGTAATAAGACTTAGCTCTCTGGATTCTTGCACATACCTAAAGTACCCCTGCAAGCTCAGGACAATTGTCTGTGTTCATTTTGCACAGAAATTCCCAGATTTGTACACCATGTCATCAGAAACATAAAATGTTGCAAAAAAAATTACACACATCTATAAACAAATCCATCAGTGCTGAGGAACATAAATGTAGGCTCTTCTAACCAGATTTGACCTAAAACATTTGCAAACATATAAGAAACATACTTATTTTAGCCAAGCCCAAACTATTTATCTTTACTGGCTTAGAGAGATATGCAGTGTACTTAAGGCAAAGATTTGGACAAAGTATGCACACAACCAGAAAGCATTAAGCTAAAAATAATACACATTCACTTTAAAAGCAGATTTTGGATACAAAACTGGCTCCAAGATATACCATGAAAGAATTTTAGCAAGTAAGCCAGCTACAAATACATAATAATTACAATCAATCCTTAGAGGTTCCATAATGCATGTTAGCCCATGATCTCAAAATTCCTGGTTTGGCACTGTTTAGAGATGAAAGCACTCTTTCAGAATAGGCTATGGATATAGAAATAATTTCACACACTGAAATCAAGCAATCTCTTGTACAATAATTGTTGCCATGCACCATAATTCCTCAAAATTATTTAGACAGGAAAAGCAGGATCTCATGTCCAGTTAAAATTTTAGTTGGACAAATGGTAGTTATGCTTCTCATCATACTTTAAAAAAAAAAAAAAAAAAAGGCTAATGGCAGTCTGAGGAAGAAAACTTCCACTAGGATCAGATAATTACATTCCTCACTTCAAATTGTCAGACTACCTCTCTACAGAGTGAAATGAAAAACTTGGTATCTAAAAATCAAATACCTTAGGTCCTCGCTGCCTGGTGCATTTTTCCATTAGCTTTTCATCATCTATTTCACACTGCTCCAGAAGATCCAAAATGTCCTCCTCCTAGAAACAGGAATTTCAACACAATTAATTCAAAGCAGGACATATCCTATCCTTCCAAAATTCAAGGACCAGGTAGTAGGAATTTGAAATTACTTTGATTACTAATTCCTGAAAGAAGACTATGCATCCCTCCACAGGACAATATAAAAGTATTTCTTCTGATGCATGCATCTGTGCTTACAATCAACACGAAAGTTAAAATCAAGTCTCTACATTTATTAATGATAAAAGTCTGAAGAAATGGTTGAACAAAGATTCCTGTAAACCTGCTGGTGATGCCAACTACAAAGATGGGAAACTATTTCTCAGATTTCAAAATAAATCACACTATTTTGTTATTTTAAAAATAGTTGTTTTCCTATGCTATCACGTAGAGGTTTTGGGTGTCTTAAACTAGCGGAGCTGGTTTTAATGTTGTCTTTCGATCCAGTCCATACAGCTGGATAAATAGCCTGGGGACATTACTGGAGGAAGAAGGAGGCAATTACAAGCTCAAAAGCAGTTTCTGCCAACCTCTGGTATGGCCAGGGGTAAGGTTGAGGAAATGGTAAAGTAGCTTAAAGCCATCTAGCCTGTCTCCAACCTGAGTCCACTGCAGTTCATTCAGATTCAAGGATCTGGCTCCACAAGCTGCACAATGAATAATTAATAAAATCATGGAAACATTATCAAATACTCTTTATTATCCATCACACATGATTATCATGAAACTAATCCACAAGGTCACAAAATCACAAGATAAATAACTCCTAGAGCAAATACTTTTTGTGCTGTAGTACCTTCATTCTTTTTAAAGGGTTATTCATTTCCCGTTGAAGAGAAGCTGCTCTCCCAGCAAGAAATGTCTGGAAAGCAGTAGCTAATAAACTCTCGTACTTTTCAAGTAATGTCTTGTCATCAGGAGGGTAAATTCGCCTAAAATAGGGGAGAAAAACTGAGTTTAAGATAGAAGCTGAGCTATCTATCACATTAGGAAAAAAAATTAATGCAGTTAATTCACAGTCTCTTCTATAATGCATGCACATCCCATCTGTGATAGTTATATAATATCACGTCATGAAACATATACTCTGAACATTGCTCTCTAAATCTAATTTTAACTCAGTGAACACAGTCATGTTTAACCAGCAATTAGCCAGTCAAAAAAAAAGGCCATGGAGGTCATTCCAGAGATGATATACCAAAACTCAGTTTTGCAGAGCTCTGAAATTTTAGTGGGTGTGAATGATGCATGCAGGTGTGAATGATTCATGAAATATTAACAAAATATTGCATGTAAAATTCAAAGCCACAAAATAATGTGGATTGGCTGTAAAAGGACACAAAACAGTGAAAATCTGAACAATTACTCTGAGTTAATGGGCATGATGTAAAATAAAGATTGAGTATGCGCTGCACTTGAATCATAAATCCTTCAAAATAATGAACAGGAAGAAAGAGGTACTAAAGAAAAACAATTTTTCTGGTACACAGATGTACAGGGTGACTCTGATTTTCCATTAGATCAGCTATGCTATTACTCTCTAAATTCACAGGTAAGGAGATTATGACAATATGAGAAGCAAGACTTGGTGATTTATTCATGCTCATCAACCAACAATGGGCTTTGAAGAAAACCACTCCAATCCATTTCATGAATGCCTGAAACACAATCAAAAATTACAAAGGTGGAAGGCTGATTTCTAACATATTGTAAAAGGAGTAATCCATAAGTTAATTCTGCCTGCACTGTGCAAAGCATAGGTACCCTTTATGTATTGAGTGACATTATGTGACTTTTATGATTTTGTAGCCTCTTGTAAGCTTTTTACAATATTCTGGGAAGAATAAAATTCCAGGAAAACATCCATCAGCCTCAGCAGGCTTTCATTTAATCTATGGATGTCAGTTCAGCAATTGGCTTAGTCAAGTATCAGCCTGCAAGCACAGGTAGCCCACTGATTCCAGCAGCAGTCCTGAGGCAATAAAATCCAAACCTGTTCTGCCCTTTTACATGTGCATATTCCTTTTTAAGATAACCCTTCCCTTTTTCCTAATTGATTTACAGCAACCAAAATGCTAAATAAAGAGAACATTTGGCTCATTTTCAGTCAAGAACTTAGTAAGAAAGCTAAAATGTGATTAGTTAAAAGGTAGACTTTAAAGTTATTGAAAAAGCAAAATGTATTAAAACATCATGTTCCTCTCCCTTGTAGTATAAGCAGCATGAAAACAACTGCTTCATTTTGGGGCTCTTTTTTGATATACTAGTTTAGCTCCACGTACATCAAGAAAGGGTGTAATTAAAACTGGGAATCCTACAAAGAAAGACGCTTCGTAAGCAAAACCTTAATTCACTGAAAATGAAAATTTCACAGAAAAAATTAATCTGTTTAAATGAGAGTTTTATTGGGAGTTATAGAACATTTGTTCCAAAAAGCAGAGATGAAGAATAGCAGTAAAGGCTTTCTAACTACTTCAGAATAAAAGATGTGAAGTCAGGCATCCCATGTCCTGAGAGTGGGAAAATACTCCCACCATCTCTTCCTAGCTGTACTCTGCTCCCTTTCACCAAATATTCATAGGCCTTGCTTTCACTTCTCATTGAAGCAAATATAAAGAATAGCAACAACATCTAACACAAAATTCTTGTTTCCCGGCCAATGCCTATTATAACCAACAACTTATAATAGCTTCCTTCTGAACACATTTTACCAAGGAATTTGAAGATACTTATGTCTAAGCTTACTAAGATACAAAATCAAAGTGGAAAAATATGAATATAGTATCTCTCAAATGCCATTCTATCAAAAATGGTGGAAGCACCAATATATTTTCTGATCTTTTGGCAAGCTCATAGATAACCTGGTGTACATGTATACATTTTCTATAAATGCCTACACATAAAAATGCAAAAATTATCATCTACCACATATACTTGTTTATGTTATTCCTAAAGAATGCCTCAAATACTTCCTAGTAACACAGCCAAAAATAATTACCTGTAGTTCCCCATGTGCCGATTTTCATGCTCCTCTTTGGAAATCTGTTTACGTACTTGTGCAAGTCTTTCCTTCTACGAATCAGGAAAATAAGACAATTAAAACAAAGAGCACTTAAGCCACAAGCTAAAAACAACACATCTTTTGCCTTCCTACCAGTTCTTCTTTTCTCCTTTCCAGTGTGTGACGCTGCTTCTCCCAGTCTGAGGAACCTGGCGACAGTTTTTTCATGGAACCTTGACCATACAGTCTTTTTTGAGACTCAGCCTTCTGTTGAGCTAAATTTTTCCTTTTATCGCTTGTCCTGAAACACAGATGTTATTCTGTCAACCCAATGCTGCTGCAATGAGATGCATTCATCTCACATATATCATCTGTATTTTCCAGTCAGCCATGTGAACTTTATGCCATAAGATTAAAACTGAAACTCTCATTAAGAATTTTTTTCTCTACTAACTTTTATGGCTACAATATTTTCACACTTTAAGATGTTCTTTGACGACTCTGTACTGTAATTTACTGTACAAACATGATTCTGTCTATTTTCCTGAGGTGTAGGTTTTTTCCAACATATCCCAACTACAAAGTTTTCCTGTGGGGTAGGGGGTACGGCTGCTGACTGTATGTGAAACTGCTGGCAGCATATTTCTTGTGTGACCACATGCCCATGACCGCACTCCTATCCCCACTTTAAGACCTGTTTGGAAAATCAGTTTTTAATAAGTATGAAAATTACTATTACCATTTATTTTTTGCAAGCACATCAGCAAAAAGAAAAATCAAGTCTGGGTTAATTTCAACAGCAAAACTGCCAGCATAGGAAACGTTTCTATTTTGAAAATACCAGTGTGGGAGAAAAGGTCTTGATTTTCTCCTAACCCAGTTCAGATTTCAGAAAAGCAAACAAACAAAAGAAAAAATACCAAATCAGAGCAAAAGAGCGAGCCAGACTGAAGAGGACAAGTTTACCGTATGTTGAGAAGCTTTAATGCATTTAGCAGAACGCCTTTCTTTACATCATAGTCTATTTTTTGATCAGTTCCAAAGCTTGGGGCACGATTAATCTGAAAAAACAAGATACAGAATACTCAGGAATATTCAGGTTCACTGGGGACACATCTATTTTAACAGGATTTGGAGAAACCATTCTTTCAAATACAGCAGAGATTAAGAGAATACATGTTAAGAAGCTCATGTCTATTTCTGGTTTTGTTAAAAAATAAGAGCATTGAGTATCAGGAGTACTGGGAGCCAGGAGATGTACCTTTCAGACACCAAGTTATCCAGACACTTACAATGAATACCATTCAAGTACTGGCAGTCAGTCTCATCTATTCCTGGTTGCTCCCAACAGAAAATTTACCATGGAAGTGCTGTTAAACACATTGTAACAGACTATGTGCCATGCGAGGTAGTCCAGCACAGGAAGAGTTAAACTCTTTCCTAGTCCCATTCTGAAAGCAACTTTGAATACTCCTCTAAAGAGTAACAACTATATAAGGACAGAAAGGGGCTGTAATTCAAGGTCTTCTGGAGAACATTTAAATAACTCCTCAGATACTCTCTGAAGCAACACCTAGAGATCTAAGTTACTAAATCAGTACATAATTGTGAACACATAAAACAACAGTCTCAGTAACAAAAAGCTTATAAGCTAAGTACAAGATAAGAGATTTAAAATGTTACCATAATTATAAAGGAACAAGGGAAATGCAACTGAGAATCTGTAAGACTCAACAGCTAGGAGTCCTCACCAACCACCATACAACCACTGTCAAGCTTTGAAGCCCCTGCTTAAGAACTTTATTTTTCAGAAAGCTGTGAGGAGGGATAATGAAGTAGCACCATCAACATTCCTAAGAACACCTTCCAGGCAGGTAAAAACGTGTACACATGAGAAATGGATGCTAATAAGCAGGAATCTTGCCTCGATAGTGAATGAGCAAGCAGTACTGGTTACAGAAGCAACAGATACTAAAGAGCTTCAGAAGAGAAAACTAGTACCTTGTGCCCCACACAAATGAGAAGTGGGATACAGTTAAAGTGCTCAAAGCAGAGGACAATTAAAAAAAAAAAAAAAGGCAGTTCATTAAAATTGCATTTTAACACTTTAGATCCATTAGTGTATCTTAGAGCCTTGACAGCTGTGGGGCAGAACTATTTTGGCTGGTGAGTTACCAAATGTCCTATTGCTGAGTCCCAGCTGCCCCATCACTTATGGTGAAATCCAAGGAACCTTTGGCTTTGCGAATCAGCTTGTTTACTGGTTTTGCAGACAGGCTGGCAAAATGAGCAATGAGAGTTGATGTTGAACAAAAAATTGTGGAAATTCAGCCGAAATAGGGAAAAGGTGTATACATACTCTTTCTTAGAAGACTCATCCAAATATTTAATTGACCGATCTTAGACTGATCTGCTCATCTGTCACACCACAAGGACTAATTTTTTTTCTGTACTGTGACAGTAAAAATATTTATTGACATCCATTTTCAAAAAACATGTGAATGCTCCACTTTCAGCTAAGCCAGCATGTAAGCAGTAACAGAAATGAGCACAAGGATTAAAACCCAATTCTCCAGCATTTCATTAGAGAATACTGCTAGCTGACAAGACCACAGACATATTGCATCTCATTTTCAACATGAAATTTAAACAAGACAACTGCATTGATTAAATGCAGCTGATAACTGAAATAAACTGGAAATATTCTGATTTTTTTTATATCATATTGTCTAATCCACGAAGGATTTACGAAGTTTTAAAAACACACGCATGGAGATCCGGTATGAAGCCTTATGCTTCAGTCCAACAAATACTGAAGTACACAAAAAGCTCACTAGACTGAAAAGAGACATGAAAATCAAGCCCAGACTCCGTATTCAGGAGAAACAACAGATGTGGAACAAAATCATATTAAACTTTTTAATCTATATCAACATGTTCCAACTGAAATTATCCTTTGAAATAATGTTTTTGCATGCATTAAAAACAAATGGACAGAAAGATTTTTATTAAATCTTCCAACAAATGAATGTCTAATTTTTTATGTACACTGAATCCATAAAACCAGTGAGACTGCAGTTAGATATGGGGACTTACCTGGAATATGTAAAACGCTGTGTTGGTCTAATATTGAATTCCTATATATGCATAGACACATGCTCACAAAGCACTGATGCATAAACTCCAGAGCATAAAAAAGTGCACACTGTTGTATTTATATTTGGTTTAGGTATTTCTTAGTTTACAACAATCTGAACTACAACACCAGGCATAAATTCTGCATTACTAAAAATTTCATAAATACGTGTTACGTACATGAGCACCAGTGAGAATTAACACTAGGAAAAGTGTAAAATAATTTAAATAACAGTTTCTTTCCTACAGGGTAAGTTTTGCCAAAAACCTACATCCGGCACTTCTGAACAAATGAAACTGTACTGACTGTGTCTATTAAGCAGAAAATTAAAGTGGGGTTAGGAAACATGTAACAAGGCATTTGAATTGCTATTATGAAGCAAAATGCTATTATGAGACATAACAAAACCACTGGACACTAAGGTTTTCGTCACTTTAATGCAGTCATTTAAGAGGCTGAAAAGCTATGGCATTCACAGTTAAAGCTGGAGCACTGCTGTATCACCTGCAGCCTCAATTTTCTGACACTCCATTCATGACTAATGTTTGAAATCCCAATACTACTGTGACCTCAATCCTGAGGAGTAACCAGAAGTGCAGTAAAACAGTGATCTAGTTCTGGACAACTACTGCAAACTTGGCTTGGGGCAGTATGTTTCAGGTAGCAGTAGACACAAGTCCAGTACAAATAAAATCTGAGCAACTGGGTACATCAGAAAGTTAATACATAAAAAGTAGGTGTGAATTTACGTTCATTAGTACTTCTACATTAACTATGTGTATATGTATAAGTTGCTTTGGATAATTTATCTTAAAAACATCAAATTTTCTTATCTGTTGCATATAGTAACACACAGAAAAGCTTCTTGATAAATAAATACAATATTCCTCTATATGGACTCCTGGATATAATGTTTCTTACATCTATTATGTTTACAATATCACAGTTTTATCTCCTTACTTTAGCTTCTTTACTTTCTATGGCTTTCCAATAAATATAGAACTCAATTGTTCACATAAACTTTTACTTCCTCCAACTGAAATCTTCAACTTTTGTTTCATAATTAGAATTTCACTGAAAACCACAGTTTTCACACTCAGACTGCTTGTAAGCACAGCAGTTGGGTAACTCAGTGTATTTCAGGATTACATACTTGTAAGTAGAGGACCACTATCTGTAATGCTTAAATTAAGAAGCGTCAGTTGAAGTACATCCTATGAGGGCACCCATCAACAGTTAAATCTGCAAATGATTCTGATTTTACAAATATTACACTCCATAAATGTGTAAGATACACCATTTCCATCTTCACCAAGACATGTGACAAACTTCAGCCTGGCATTTCACTTCTTTACCAAACCAGTCAAAGATCATATTCTCACCTGCCACCCTGCAGCCTATTAGCATGGAGTAGAAAAAGAAATTTTTCAATACCTATCATGCATACCCATTGAAAAGACATTTCAAACATAAAAGGAGATCACATGAATTACTTTAAACCTAAAATCAATTGAATAAAAAGTTATACCCTTTCAGTAATATGAATTTAACCTCTGTTCAATCTGTAGGACAGCATGAATGTTTTGGGAAGGATCTCATTCTTTATTAAAATGATTGAGATTTCTAACAATAGAATTTGACAGGCAAAAGGAATTTTTAAGCCATTAAAAATCCTGTTACACAGAATGCTGTTAGTGTCTATCATTGAGCAGATCTTTGATCAGAGACAATCATGAAGTCCATTCTAATCGCTCATTTCTAAACTTCACAAATTGTGCAGTGCTAACCACCTTTTTGTTGGCTTCAGCAGAACGCTGGTTTTACATGGCAGTTCAAACTAAAACAACCGACTGCTGTAGAAGTGCTCTGTGAAACAGACACGGTTTTTACCAAAGAATACAAGCAAAACAGGTGCTCGTGTTGCAAATCTACAAAGAAAACTAATTGCTCCCTTTCAAACTTTCAATAAGCTGCAAGAAAAAAGGTTTTAAGGAAATGTTAGTAAAATCAATGAACATTTGAAAAAAATCCATCAACGTGCAGGTTCAATTACCCAACATCACTGTAAGTGAATGCTGAGTCAGCTCAGAACTGAGAGAGACAAAGTCTGAGTAAATCCAGTTTATTTTGCTGAAGTTTGGTCATTTTCCACCAGATACATTACTGATTGAAATGCAGACCTTGATCTCAAACAAATAAGATTACATTTATGTAATCTTATGTAAACTTTATGAAAAATAGTATCACAAGAACAATTCAAGTGCCAATGAAATGCAAAGAGATACATCTGAAATGTACTACTTAGAGTAGAAATACAAGAAATGCAAATACCACCACCCTATATATTCAGCTGTTTGACATCTACATATAACTACACATGTAAGGGGCTAAATACTGACTAGAACAAAGTGTTGTTTTGTTAAATGTGATCACGGGTGAGAATCTTAGAAGTCTTGGGCAAAAACTTTATGTTAAGAAAATCGCTTTTCCCTTAAAATATTCCTTAAAAGAAAGTACCATCCTTTATTTTTCATGTGGCTATCCCTTGTTTCCAGACAAGATATAAGGTTGCTGACTAATCTGTACAACAGTACTGTAGTAATCTCAATAATGTACCAGTAATACTGTCACAATAGGTATTCATAATATCTGGTTACCAAAGCATTGTATAAGCATCTGTTGGCTGAGACACAATTATTTAATGTTCAGTGACCCAAGAACTGGGACATACACATCACTAGGTTGCGTTAATATAACATTAGTCATTTCAGCAGGAGAGCACATCTTGAATACAGCTGACAAAAACAGGATTGCATGAGGAGTCCCAAAGTACAATCAAATAATGACAGCAAAGGCCTTGAAAATCCAGGGACTCTGAGATATACACCAGTCACAGCAGCCAAGTAGTGTTCGCTAAAGAAATGCAACCTTGTGAACTAACACTGGGTCTAGGGATAACAAAGAGAACACAAAGCAGAATGGAGGAACTGTAAAACAAGCCAAGTACACTAAAACTTGAAGCAATTTGAAACTGCTGGCCAGTGAATGAACAGTAAGTGTACGGTGGCAGCAAATGAATAAAAATAACCCTAAGGGAAGCTAAGAGCAAAAAAGAAAAAACCTTCACCATTAAGAGTGTGTTCTTCACCAGGAAGAACACAAGACACTGAGAACTTGCTATAATCACCTACCCATAATTTTTTTCAGAAGCAGACCTCTCCTGCCCTTGTTGGCCTTTGGGTCTCCAAGGCACCGGGCAAGGTAAATGTTATACATGAGAAAGGAGTAGATACCAGAAAGTTTGTGTATGTGAGTTTTAACTACTTTATTAATAGGAATTAGCAATAATTGGATACATTGGCTTAAGATGCCCAAAGTAATTATAAGTGGACTGTTGAAGTTTTTAATAGATTTTCCTAGTTCATTTCCACTAAATAGCAAGTTTATGGACCTGTATATAAGGCTTCTCTCACCCACATAAATCACAAGAGAATTTGGGTACCTGGCACTTGAAGCAGTTATAAAAAGATGACCTTTTCCTCCAGTGATCTGTATAAAATGAAGTTGGACAAGGCTGAAATCCATCCAATAACTTCAACTGCATGATTTTCTTATTTACATAAAATAACCTAACTTGTAAATTTTGGTCAGAAATAGTAAACCTGGATTTTCTGGGAACCAAAGGGGGATCTAGGTAATTGTTGCTACTCAGAAAGGATGGAGGCTGCTGGGACTGCACAGATGCTTGCCAGAAACATTTGGTGCCACAAGATGGCAATCACGCATTTCCCACAGCCCTCACTTCTGTAGAAGGTTCCGGAAGTTCAGTAGCATCAAGGAACAGGAGCTCTACACTGCATCAAGGCAAAATAAACAAAAGTCACCTCAGGAAAGCAGAGTCATTATAAATGTTGTGTTTCTCATAACAATTTATTAAGGTATCTTTATAAAAGAAAAGTTACACGAGGTATGGGAAAATAAAACTAGATTTACCATTCTAATCCTGTTTGGCAATTTTCCCGTAACACTGGGAATACTCAGGACCTTGTCATTAGTACTTGTCGCCACTATTATAAAGAATGATTCACTCTCTTAAGGGGGTTTTGGCAAGAGGGAAATGGCGGAAAGAGCTAAGTGTGAAAAGCTGGGGAAGAAGCCAGAACAGGATTAAGAAAAACAAACAAGCAAAAAACACACCATGGTTATGGACAGATATACATATGCATGTGTACGCAGAGTACACGTGTGTGCGCATATATACGCACTGTATGTTTGATCTTTACTAGACTACATATAGTATGCATAGTGTGCATATACATATATAGTGTATGTTTGCTGTCAAGAGTACTGCAAAACACACAAACAAGCACAGTAAAAAAGAGTGGATGAGTATAGAAACTGAATTACTAAGTTTCAAAGTTTGAAGTTTCTGTTTAATTCAATGTCTAGCAAAATAAGCTGGATCACCAAATTCCTGGATCACCAAAAGCAGAAAAGGAAATAATTAAGACTTCTGTGTTTAAAAAAATAATAACCAGGTACACGACTTCAAGTCCTGAAGTATTCTACAGCAACCCAAGATACCAGAAGAGCGTTTACTACTTTATGGGATCCCTCCCTCTTAAACAGAGAGTCTGGGACAGTATGATTCTCACCATAAATGGTGAGTCAAACCTCCTAAAATCTCCATGCTGCTTGTAAACATCCAAGCAGATAGAGGGCTATCCTTCAGAACAAATTCACTACACAGGTTGACTCACCATCTTTCATAGAAGAGGTCTGCCACCATTTGCTACAAGACCAGATGAAATGCATTCACAGACTAATTCCAGTCTGTACTTAAACAACTACATACACTTATATGCAAGCCACAGGCAAGCTATAGATGATACTCTGGAAGTGTAGAGCTAAATAAAAGAGATATAGGCTTCGCTTGAGAGAAACAGAAGATGTCAGTGTAATAAAGACTAAGATCATGTCATGTGCTGCTTTTGGCTAGCACATCAAAGCTGCCAAATATGCCTATGCATGTCAATGGTGAAGGGATTTTATCTAATTAGAATTATACTGAACCACTGAAAGAAGCGTGACAAAGCAATTGCTGAGAGCATTAATGGCCTGAAAACAAGGTTATAATTCAGTAAGTTAATCGTGTACATTTTGCTCATCAGTAGCGAAATATAATTCGCGATTTATTGTCAATAGACAGATTTTTAATACATTTTGCATTTTTCCTCCAGTTGTACAACCTCCCAACCAGTTAACATCATGATATAAGACAATCTGAAAAAGTTAATCTATATGTTATTAATACTGTAATTAAAAAGACACAATAGACAAACCACAAACATTCCTGGTTGAAAATGTATGTGAGCACCATTTCAGCTTAACTGTGCCACTAACATATTAGAGAAGAAACATTTCTGCCAGTACATTTATGACAATTGTTTAACAGCATTTCATGTATACAGAATTAGTTTCCTCTGTTTATGATTTACGTGGGTGCTTTTAAAAGCCACAGGAAAGGAAAAGAACATATATCCCCAAAAAAAGAGAATTAAGACCATACAGTCACAAAAGTTCCCAGAGCTATACTGTAAAGCCATATTCATGAAGGAAATCTATATAGTACCAGATTGCTATAAACAAGGTCCTTCAGCTACAATAACAACTGGATTAACATCACATTTTTCATTAAACCTTCATAAACATCTGCAATGCCATATTCCTTCAGGAAAACAATTACGTTTACCTGAGTCTCCAAAAGTCACTGCAAGGCAATGCTTCCATATGGATGCTGCAGAAAAAGCACCATCTATGTACTCAACAACAGTATATGTACTCAACAACAGCATCTCCTGCGATGCACAGATTTTCTTTAGAAGTTTTCTTACACAAACATGGATGCAGTTGGGGGTTTCATTAACTTTACTCTTAAAAATTTACTTTCCATTTGTTTAAAGAGGTTTACCTCTAGGAGCCATGGTTTTAGTTTTCTGTCCAGCAGAATATCAAATCCCAGGACTTCAAAGCAGACACTGTCACTTCCTGGTGCTTGCCCTGGCCTGCACATGCGATAAGCATGAAGAACATGTGGCTCTGCAACTATGAGAGTCTTCACTACTAACTCCTGTAGGGATTTGTTTCAGAAAAAAATCATCAGGAGAGAAGACACCAGTATATATTGAACTAAAGTGTTTCATACTTGAATCTTTGAACTTTCATTAAAATATCTACTAAAAAAATACTTAAAATACCAGATAAATTGTCTATAATAAACCCTCTGGAGTACCAGATACATTTTTTATACAGCCCTGGAGTATCTTGTTATCGTTTTTATAGTACATACATAATTTTAGATATGTAATAACTTAAATTCTAAAAGCATATTGGGAACAAAGTATAGTATAGTATACCCAATCTTTACACATTTCATTTTGCAATATAATTTCCAATAAATATTCTCAGAACCATACATACGGATAGTGTCTAGACTCTAACAATCTCAGACCTATTACTCATGTAAAGACACCTGTAACATAACCACTGACTTCAACGGTGCAGGTTCAAGTCCACAGATCTATGCAACGCTGACTACAGTTTTGTAAATATTCACACATAAAATTCACTTCATACTTTAGAGAAGCCTCCAAGAATTTAAATGGGATCATTCCTTTGATTTATATTACTTATGTGAATAATTGCTTGAAAGGGCTTTTGTTCCTTAGAAAAAGTTCAACATTGAATTTATAATCACTCTCTGAATTTAGTCTTTTAAAAAAATATAATCATCATTTATAGCAGTATATTTATTTGTGGTATGCATTGCTGAGAATCTGGATTAACTTTCAAAAATCATTCTGGATTCCAGAAGCAATTCATTTTCTAAGAATACACACAATAAAGAAAAGGCATATTAGTATTATCTTACTGAAATATCATCCCAGAACTTGGAGACATCAAGATTATTTGTTTGTAGAAACTCAGTAAACCATTTTATGGAGCGTTTGCTTCCTTTGTCTTCTGTTTCATCCCGTTCAAAGTGTTCATTATGTTTATTGACAGAGTAGTTAGTCAGATGCATATACAACTGACTCTGAAAAAAGGAGAAAAGACATTAAAGGACCCCTCAAACCCCAAACACTTAAACAAGCTCTAGAATGGTCAATTTTCAAAATAATGAAAATAAAAATACATTGAAGCAATAATGACATAACTCATATTTGCAAATACACTATGTGCAGACTTAGTGTTTCTGATTGTTGGAGATTTCACCCACTGAATGTTCTAGCCTTACAACAAAATCTGTTCTCGTATTTAACGGTCTTGTTTAACATCTTTGTTGCTGACATGGACAGTGGGATTGAGTGCACTCTCAGCAAGTTTGCCAATGACACCAAGCTGTGTGGTTCAGTTGATACACTGGAGGGAAGGAATGCCATCCAGAGGGACCTTAACACGCTTGTGAGGTGGGCTGATGCCAACCTCATGAAGTTTAACCATGCCAAGTGCAAGGTCCTACACCTGGGTTGGAGCAATCCCAGACATAGCTACAGGTTGGGCAGAGAAGAGATTCAGAGCACCCCTGTGGAGAAGGACTTGGGGGTGCTGGTCAATGAGAAAATGAACATGAGCCAGCAGTGTGTGCTCGCAGCCCAGAAAGCCAACCGTATCCTGGGCTGCATCAAAAGGAGCGTGACCAGCAGGTCAAAGGAGGTGATCCTGCCCCTTTATTCTGCTCTTGTGAGACCTCACTTGGAGTATTGTGTACAGTTCTGGTGTCCTCAACATAAAAAGGACATGGAACTGTTGGAACAAGTCCAGAGGAGGGCCACAAGAATGATCAGGGGACTGGAGCACCTCCCATATGAAGATCAGCTGAGAAAGTTGGAGCTGTTCATCCTGGAGAAGAGAAGGCTGCGTGGAGACCTCATAGCAGCCTTCCAGTATCTGAAGGGGGCCTATAGGGATGCTGGGGATGGACTCTTCATTAGGGACTGTAGTGATAGGACAAGGGGTAATGGGTTAAAACTTAAACAGGGGAAGTTTAGATTGGATATAAGGAGGAAATTCTTTCCTGTTAGGGTGGTGAGGCACTGGAATAGGTTGCCCAGGGAGGTTGTGAATGCTCCATCCCTGGTGGTGTTCAAGGCCAGGTGGGATAGAGCCTTGGGTGACATGGTTTAGTGTGAGGTGTCCCTGCCCATGGCAGGGGGGTTGGAACTTGATGATCTTAAGGTTCTTTCTAACCCTAACTATTCTATGATTCTATGATTCTATTCAAGCCAGTTGTAGTCGACTGATCTACTGCTCAACATCTGGTTAGGTATATATCTGCTATTTTTACAGGTCTGTATGTAAACAACTACCCCAAAAAAGAGAAGAGATTATCATAATTTACAGAATTATTACATTCCCCAAGAAGCAAACAATAAAGATGGTATTTTTAAGTGGTATTTTAAAAGTGCTGAAAGCAGCCTGGCATCTGTTTCATAGACAATCCCACATTTCAGTTTTTGCTGTAGCTTATTTATAAGAAATGTTCTCATGATAGTGGTACTTTACAAAATCTTTTACATATAAATTCATCTGCCATGTTGGTATCTGCCAAAATTGCTCATTTTTGAGTGGCTGATGGCCATACATCAAATAATTTCAAAATATACATTACATAAGTGAGTGCTATAGCTCCTTTATAAAGCAAAATGTCACCAACAATAGATTCATGATACCAGTTGCATGGAAAAACAGTAACTACCTTTCCATGGCAAATTTATGAATCATGATTTATATATATATATTTATATGCTTATCCTACGATACATACTATTGTACGGATCAATTCAGCTTTCCACTCACACTACCATGATGACTGAACTCATCACAATGAGTTCTCTGTCATCTGTCATCCCTTACTTGAGTGTAGTTGATATTCTAAACTGACCATAAGACTTCTGTTCCAATTTCTTTTTGATAAGACAGCTAATAGATAACACAAGCCTTCTGCTGTCATCTCACTGCACTCACTCATGTTTAAAACACCTTAATGACACTAACAAAACCAATCAATTTAATTGTAGGTTAATTAATATATTGTATTAGCACTATAAGTAATTAATTTCTCCCATGGCTTCCAATTACTGCTTTGATAATCATTCTGAAAACTATTGGTTTTGAGTTGTTATAACTGTATTCTTCCCATGAAATTCAAATCATTTCAGACAAAACAATTACTTTTCAGACTACAAAACATGAAAGTGTTTTGTTCAACATCTGAACTAATCTTTAATCTGAAGTTATCTGGTACAATGTCATTGTGGAACAATGTCATCCAAAGAACAATGTCATTAGTGATGAAGCCAGGTTATTCCATACAATAGACAAACTGTAACATGAACAGTTGTGAGAACACAGAAATAACTGCCTGTTCTGTTCATCCACTCAGAGCAGATTTCAGTGCTGCTAAGATAGTAATGATAGAATAATATTAAAAGCAAATTATTCCAAACATAATATTGGAACCCTTCCAAATAGACCACTTGTACCAGGATCCAAATTATACCTGCATTCTTCAAAGGTGCTCTATGAGACAGTCACAATGTTAAGTGACAAGCAGGGAGAAGGCTCTCATGTTGTCTACTGCATAATTACACTGAAGCAGCTCTAAAGTATATGGCATTGAAAAGGAATGATACAGTAGCACCAAGTACAGAGTGAGGTATAAAACCCAAATCTACTGATGCCTCCCAGTGCTTCAGATCTATTTCTTTCTTAAGAGACACCCGAGTGTCTGGCTGTCCCAGAAGAGAGGAGTTACACCTCTCAGCAGGAGGGGAGATGCTATACATTGAAGAAGAGGATTAAAGTGTTCAAAAACTTTAGCATGCCCCTTACCATTTCCTTCCGCAAGTTTACAGGCAACCTAAAGCTGTTAAGTATATACTCCTTTCCCTGCCGAAGTGGTCACTGACAGTACCAGAAATAGATTCCCTAGCATTCAGGGGTTGCAGTGACCACTTTCATGCAGTGGTCTTTTCTGTCACTGTTCCTCTGCTTATTGCATATGTTCCTAACACAATGGCTAAAATATTGCAGGATCCTCAGCAGAAGCTCCAGACTTCAGGAATGTTAAACAATGATCTAACAGGAGATAAACCTTAACCCCATACCCCACCACGAACTGAGTCTCAGATAAATATAAAAGCAATTTACCCGTTATTTTACCTCCTCCAAACACTACACAGGTAAAGAAATTTCTACATGCACAAGTAATAAATTGGAATGAACTCCAACTTACCAAATTTGAGTCACTGGGGGGATGATACTTTTCTGTGCCCATTCTCACTAGTCCATCATGATATAAAAATACTTTTAATGGATCACAGGAGGTGACAAGAATATACACACGTAAATCAAACTTGTAGCCTTCCATAAGAAATGGCTTGTCAAGATATTCCTGAACAATCAAGTGATCCTGAGCTTGTAGCTTTTCTGCGTTTCTTATTAAAGAGATCCTGGTAAAAACGAAAGCTATTTTAAAAACATGGAACTTTAACATTACTCTTCAAAACAGACTCTTGTAGGCACCCAGCCAGGTAGTCAGTCTACCTGCAGAAAGACATATATACTTGACTTGTAGTGTAAAGAAAAAGTTCTTCCTTTACGTGGGTTTTGGTTTCCTGTCTTTTATTGTCTTCACTGGATGAAAAAAGGCAATGAGCCATTTCAACAAAAATTTCTGCTTCCTTTGATTCAACAATTTGTAACAATAGGTTCCCTTTGCACTTAAAAACTGTTCGGCAGAATGACCAGTGTCCAGCTTCTGCAATTACTCCCCCTGCAGCTCTAAAAATCGGCTTCTAGTCTTCGTCACAACTTCTGCCTGAGGTACAGGTTGCAAAGAACTTTCAGTGCTAGCCTGACCTAGTGATGATGTTTGCAAAGCAGGACACTAAGTACAAATGTGGATGGCATAGATTAAGATCAATATTTCTGTATTCCAGTTTCCTCACATCAGAATGAAAAATTATTTATATACACACTATCAACTGGTAGTCCCTAACTACACAGACTTTAAATAACTGTAATAGCTAATGTTTTTCAGGTACAAATATTAACCCCAAATTCCCATAGCTTTGTTGCCTTAATCTTATCCTCTATTATTTATGATACATTTCAGTGTTCTGGTGCTGAATACGCCTAATATACTGAAGCATTTTCCAGGCATTTCTCTGAATTACGCTGCTACCTATCCCTTCAGCTTATCTTTACCCTTATCAAGAGGAGTGAAAAATCAGGAAATGGAAAAGCCTGGGGGGCTTTACTTTTACAATAATTCTGATATATGTAAGCACTTTAATATATAATTAATATAATTTTGTATAAGCAAAATTATATCAAAAGCCATAAAAGCTCAAATTGCAATATCTAAACCTAGGAATAGAGCTGAAAATGAATTTGCAATATTTATCTCATTTTTCTTTTACTGTGCAGCCCTGTCACAGGCAAAACTCTCAACTCAGCTGCAGGTTACAGCCTCTTCAGGGGTATCCCTCCTCTGGCACAGGCATCACCACCTTCCACGAGTGCACCTCCAGCCACATTCCCAAAAGCATCTCCTCTGTTTCACCTACAGCTATGGTTGCCACTCTTAAATATGTTTGTGCTGCTCTGACTGGATTCAGTTCTGGTATGCAATGGGGTGGTTGGGCTGCTCTCCTAGCCATGGAAGGTCCTCACTTTCTCTCGTATGACACCCCTGCAGGCCCCAGCCCCCAAAATCCTGCCATTTATGCCAAATACAATCTCACCCTGTAAGTTTAAGCACAACAGATAAATTTGCAATAAAAATAATCCTGCATTTAAGAATTATCTGAGAGTCATCAAAAAAATGCATTCTCTAATTATCCTATATTCCGAACAGCATTAAAATACCGCTTCAATTTAGCTTTATATTTTGGCTGTTTCTGTTTGTTAAGCCTATGTCCAATACATGAGCTTTCATAAAACTTGAAATAAAATCTTCTTACTGATACACAGCTTCTGTTAATGTAAACAGCATTGGATTACACCTTTAATGGGTAAGAAGACTGAAGTTAGCAGGCAACTTACCCGTGTCCCATTGCACCATTAGCTGGTTTGACTATGAAAGTTTTCTGTCTACGTTTCTTCTTCAGTTCTTTTACGTAGTTCTGAAACTGTGTGTATTCTGCAGGGAAGATCCATGTTCGAGGAATAAAACTATACTCCTGAGGCTGACTCTTGATCATCCTGCAAAAAAAAGTCATTGAGTTAAAATCTTTCAAGTACTTTGATGTTTCAATCCTAAGGATTAAAAAGCATTTACAATAATTTGACAATGAAACTTTGTTAGGAAAATACTGCAATATTAAAGCAAACTTCTCCACCTGTTTAAGAATAGTCAGAGCTCTATAACATACTCATATGCATACAAAAAAAAAGCAGACTATCTTGTGCTTTTTTGCTTATTATCGTATCGTACTTGCTTACCATGTTACTGGCATCCATCTCAGTTCTTGGCATCTATCTCACTTCTTGGCATCCATCTCACTCCTGCTAATAGCTTCTGCTCAGTTACTCAGATGATGCTAGTCCTATTCTTAAAAGTATCAAACTTACAATAGACCATGTGATTATAGACCTTTCCCTACCTAACAGGTTACTGGATTCCTCTTTCCCTTACTCCCCCTTCCCCACCACCACCCCCCCCCGTTTACTTCCCTCGAAGGGACAGGGATATTTGACAAACATTTTAATTTTCATGTTTTATGTTTATGTGTTTGGGGATGTATAAGGACCAACACACACAAAAAAGAGCACCTGGGATACTTGACATTTCTTCATGGGTGCAAAAAATATTAATAACAAGGACCAAATTTAGAATTAAAATAGAAGCACTTTAGGAAGATTTTGTTTCTTTCTAGTCTTTTGAATGAATTTGAAAAGTAAAGAATTGTAGTAAATACACTTTGACACAGGCCAAACAACTGCTCATAGACCTCTACTACAGGGCAGAACAAAGAAGTGCAAAGCAAGGCAAGAGGGGCAGGGGGAAGAAGAGCTAAAACAAAAATAAGGTTAAAACATCACAAGGAACAATTTCTGAAACTGAATCTGATTAAAGGATGCAGCAAGGTCCTGATATCCCTGCTTTAACAGTTGTGGTAGTGGAGGTAGCAAGCACATCTCATTTTATGGCTATGCTGTCTGTGCAGGAAAGACAATGGAAGAAAGAACTCGGCAGAAGTTTCCATCACCCAAAGCTGTGTATCTGGCAGATAGGAAACATATGATCTTGAAGGTCTTTCAAACTATGATTCCATGCTATATCCACACCAGACTGGCAGTATGTGGTAGATACATATGGGTTAGCTTTAAATAAAGTAGCTTTAACACTAGTTAACAGCCAAGTTATAAGAGCAATGTGGACTTGGTCGTGCTATGCAGACACAGTTCGCAGCAGAATAAATTTAGTTTCTGCTGAGCTAAATACTGGTGCAGCTAGCTTGTTTCAGGTACTTGGATAACCCGAAATTTCATGCATAACCTCACATGGAATTAGTTCATGTAACTCAAAATTACCTTGCAACATAGGGTGGACAAATCAGAAAATACAAATATCCACAGACCAACAGAAAGTGACTGGATATTTTAAAATAACTGAGATAGGAAGTTCCTCAACTTTTACTTTTTTTTTTTAAATGGCACTATGATGAATTTTAATACTTTTTAATTAATTACAGCATCAGGATAATTTACAGTTAAAAGAGACAGTATCACTTCAATTTTTTTATTTTTACTTTGAGCCCACATAGTATTCCTGATGCAGCATAAGTCACTTTTTCTTTTAAGTGGCTCAAATACTAATGGAAAAAACAGAGCTGCCAACTGCATCTGTAAGGCCAGGACTGTAGCCAAGCCCTAATGGTATAATAGATACACTGTCACCAAATTGTTTAGTCAACTACACAACAAACATTCTGCAGAAACCACAATTGCTATAGTAGTCTTGAAGTACTGCATGAGGTTCAGAGCTTCTGCAGCTTCATTGTAACTATTATTTGTACAAATCTGGTTTGATGAAAGGCACTAAGTATTCAGACATAGTTTTAAAAAACAGAAATAGTTAATTCATGACTCATGCATATTTTAAAACTACTCTCCATCTGCTATATATTTACAAATATCATTACCTCGCTAACTGAATCACTTATCTAGTCAGAAATTATCCTATTTAGGCAAAAATAAATTGTGTCAGTTTCCATTCCTCTTCAAATTGTCATATGCATCCTGAGGTGTTACATGATGCAGACTTGCCATTTAAATTATTTGCGGGTTTCATTACATATACACCCTATTCAATCAATATACCTTCAAGGTATCCTACAAACATTCTTTTCTGGCTGCAAGTACATCAGTTCTATAAGCCTTTTTTCTATCTAAACCATGACAGATGCATGACGGGGTAGAGCACAGTGTAAGACTTAACCATTGTTTACAAGTTCTCCTGCACACTAAAACTTTCCACAAAAGAATTCAGCTCTGTTCTTTCCCTGCTTGGCTCTATTCAGAAATGGCTTAGTAACATCATCAAGTAGCTTGTGGAATCAAGACCTGTTCCAGTACAATAGCCCTATTTTCCAGCACATCTGCTATCCACTACTGTGGGTAACCACTTTTTCACTCTGCTGCTCTATCCTTTAGCCTCTGCAGTCCTTACTAGGAAGTCTGAGAATTAAACAGCAAATTATTGTTCTTCTGAGTGCTATTTTAGCTCACAGATATGATCAGACTGTGCTCTTGTTTCTCAGAATGCTTTCTGTGCAAAAGAATTAAAGTTGTTGAACAAAACATAGGTTATTACACGACTTCTCAGTCCAGTAACACTCGTTCTGCTGCCTAGGTTTCAAACTTCGCTGACTTTTCAAGTATGAAAGGAGGTTAGTGGGTAGGTATGGATGAGAGCAATTCTTCATTCATGATCAGTTCACAAACCTTTTAAACATAAACAACAAAGGTGCTGCAAAAAAGACCATCTCATACATGAGTCTATTCTCTTTCCCCTTCATCCTGTATACCTTCTCCCCCACTTACTGTGTTATTCTGTAACCAAACTTAACATTCACATGAGAAGATCTCATCTAAGAGACCATTTACAGAAATTAAGAGACTATTTACAGAAATAAGTTGGCCCTACAGTGGCACCTCTGTTCTGATTATTCCCCCTTGAAAATGATGCTCGTGCCCCTTTTGTTCTCAATTACATTTCTGCTTCTACCTTTTCCATTACGCTTTGTCACTACACTTTTTGTGCTGGGTTGTCTTCTTTCACATTACACTATGTATTACACTACTTCCTTCTACCCTTGTGCATGTGAAAACCCCATTTTCCCGTGATCCAGAGCACCTCGATATTGGCTGTAAGAGGGATCCCTGCAATTCCTCCTGAACAGCATTTGCCTCTCAAGAGTCCAGTAGATTTGTTCTTTCACTCCATTCCCAATAGCTTGCATAAAATGAAGATTAAGATCAGTGTAACAAAAGAAGTAGAACAAAAAGGAATCTACTCTCCACCAATTTACACCAGTTGTTTCATGAATTCTCAATGGTACAAAACCCAGAGCTATTCAGAAGCAGCAACAGAAAACGCTGCATGCAGCAGAAAAGTAAAGAAACAGAACTAGTGTTTCTGCACAATCTTGTTCAAATGAATTTTAAGACAGGACAGCAGCTGTGTGGAACAAAATCCTCCACTCTACAGACAAGAGCCTGCTTCACCATGTATCCCAACTGACTTGTGATTTCACAAGCAGTCAAGGAATATGATTTTGATTTTTATAAATTATGAATACTAAGCATTAAATTGTGAGGCTAGAACTACAAAAAACAGACTGATTAAAACCCTGCTATATCTACTGATACTAAGCGAAGTCACAACATAGATGTCTGACCAGAGTTACTGCATCAGAGAAATTATTCCCATTTTATCTATAATATGTGCAGTCTCCACATGAATATCCTTTAAACTGGGGTACCACTGTTATCTACTGACATTAAGTGAAGTCACAATACAGACATGTTTGACCCAGAGTTGTTGTATCAGAGAAATTATTCCCATTTTATCTGTATGTGCAATTTCCACATGAATAGTCTTTAAACCATGTTTAAACCTCAGAATACAGTAGGCTGTGAGAGGTATAATCAGACACTATTTGAAAATAATGTGCATGGTAACAAGAGCCTTTTGTCCATTTTGCACATTTTTTTTAAATCACAGAACTGTAACAATACAGAGGGATGCCACTGCCTACCAAACTGATGAATGTTCCATTGTTTCCAAGACCCCTCCAAATCACTGTTTGCCTCCATGTTTTTACCTCTCTGTTTTTACTTAAAGTCTGGAAGGGGGAGTGAAAAGTGCTAGTGTAGTGTGTACTGACACGAGGGAGTTCTGGCCTACATGTGGGACATGTAGACATAGCAATGCACATAGTATTTCCCTCATAATAGTTGCATACATTCTACATGCTATGTGTCATATTCTCAAAACAGAAAAGGAGGGGGGGGAGAGAGATATGACATTAATTACATAAAAATATGAAAACAAATTCTGTTCTGGTAACAGGAAACGCAGTGTAGGTAATGTCTGGGGCCAAACGATTAATTAATAATTCCTCTTTAAACTAATTTAGATTAGATTAGAAGAACCAAATATTCACATACACTTTAACTTTTTCTTATTACCAGGCCACTGAATCATTATTTAGTATTGTTTTCTTACAGGTCTTACTCACAGATTCTCAGCTACCAGTTATTCCACTAGAGTGAGGAGAAGTTATAATTAGATAATTGAACCTCTCTGACTTATTCCTTATATAAACAGTAAGATGCTTCAGGGTTTTTTCTTTAATATATTAATTATTCAATAGTAATCAATTATTTTAATGAAATAATATCCATCCACATACTAATTATTTTTTCTGTTCTACCATTGCAGGATATACGCCTAGGTGTATTATGTATGAAATGTATTGTACAATAACTTAAGGCTCTCCTGCATTCTGTAACGTGTAGACAGAGAACTGAACCCACATAATTTTCCACTGAAGTCAAATGGAGAGATACAGTAGCCCACTCCAATACTATAGATCCAGCACCAAAGCCAAAGTTATCAAGGAACTTGGAAAGCTGTTGTTGGTCCTCTCATAGCCTCTTAGTAAAAATAAACAAACCTTAATTGTACTGCATTGAATACTGTGGCTGAAAAACTTCTTAATATTAAAAGATAGATTACTTAGTCATGTTTCTTGCCAGAAAATCCTTTCTGCAGATCTCTCCCATTCCTGGAAAATGGTTTATTCTCTGAGGAAGGAGAAGAAAAGAAAGTTTGTTGGTACTTTTTAGTTTTGCTGCCATACCTAATACAATCATCTAAAACACTCAACTGCACACTCAAGCAAACATAATTAGTGTTCGACATAAACTGTTTACAATAATAGCTTACGTTATGCTACATATTCTTAGCAATTGAAAAGATGCTGTAAGTGGTATTCTCTTCCACCAACATAGGTGTGCATTGATTTAATTTCAGACATGAAAGGAGACTATCATACCCTTACTCACAAAGCTACCTACAAAGCAAGAATGTTCTCAGAAAGTAATGGTAAATAAAGGAATTAATTATTCACAGAAACAGTGGAGAGAACTCTGCTTGTTAACATACTGCAAAAAAGCTTATGAGCAACTTATAAATAATGTTTTGCATCTTCTTTTAAACTCTGATCTTCCACAACACCCAAAGAAAGAACAACCTCAAATATTTAAACACCAGATTCCAAGTAGTATGAACAGATAACTCTGGAAAACAGAATAGGATTTTAAAATATGTAGTGGTATAGCCTTATTGCTGGGTGGTATTTTGTGGCAGGGTGTTTTTTCCTGTCCATACAAATGTAACTGACCAAAAGTGACACATTTCTGAATGTTTCAGAATGAAGCGGTTTCATGAAACATGTCAGAAATCCTAACTACCACTCTACCTGATAGTTCTGAAGCTCAGCAATCTTTTCTTGTTGCACAGCAGAATCACTCCATATGAGATTAGCTGTTTCATCTTCATCACGTGTTTTCACAAATCCCATTTCTCGTATTACTACACGTACTACGGAGAAATCACATATTTAGGGAATATTTTGAATCTCTAAAATAGATGTGTTTTCAAAATTTTAAAAAATCAATTAAGATTTTAAACACTTCCAATATTCAACCCTTTGTCTGAGAACAATGTTAGCATGCAAACTATTATTTATCTCACAGTCCTTCTATCAGTCTACTGCAAACCTGTCATGACAACATTATAGAGCACTTTGTACTGTGGCTGGAATCAGAGCACAACCACTGATGAGAACTCTAAAGAGCTTCACTGCATTCCCCAGCCATCTAGTAAAAGTCCATTTGCCTGGCTTTTCGAGTTAATCTTGGCTATCACGTGTTAATTTTAAAACAGTGATGCCTGTAAGTGTCACTGCAGATAGCAGACAAGAATGCCTCTTCAGTCAAGGCACAAAAGTAAATGCATACATTATTTTAACATAAGAAACAAACAAACAAGAAAAAAAACTTCCAAACACATACATAATCCATAATTAGATGGTTTTCTACAGCCTTCTTGATTACTTAAGTTTTTGCATTTCAAAGCTCTTCCCTGAGTAAAAAATGGGGAGCAATAGCTGCAAAAAACCAACAAAGTTACAAAAAAACAACAAAGGTTTCTTACAGAAGAAAATCCTTTGGAAATGTCTCACTGTCAGCTTGATGCAAAGTCCATTAATTCACCCCCATTAGTTAATCAATGGTTATTACTATTTGGAGGAAAACAAAATATGTAGCTTCCTACCAATTTCATATTTTGTGCCAGCAACATTGGCAGTGATGACTCCATTCTTCTTCTTTCTGACTTTTCTTTTAATTGTGCTTTGATAAGGTAGTCCCGAAGTCAAAGCCAGGGGAGCAGTTCTATGGTTATCTGAAAAATAATGCTGTAACTGTTAATATCTTTATATCTCAGCTAAAACTACAAACATTTACTTTGTTACAACTTAGAGGCACAAGCATACTGAATAATTAACAGGCAATATTAAAAATCCAGGACTAGCATACCTCTCTCATTAGGCAAGGATGGCATTATAACCTAGAGCAGCGTAGAAGCAGAACCCAAAATTCTGTCTCAAGTTCTCAGAAAATGATGAAGCTAAAAAAAGCTGAATTATTTAAAGCTCCGGTCATACCATTTCAGCCTCCAGTAGTAGCAAATACTAGTTCTGGAATGCATAGATATCTGTGTGGGGAAAAAAAAATAAAAATTTAGAAACTTTGTTATAGAGAAATCCTAAACAAATATAAACAGCTGAAAAGTAACTATGAAAATGCTTTCAATACCCAGTCACAAGGAGTGGTTCTTTTAAAAGACTGATCAAGGCCCACTCATATAAAACTTTGTTCACTACCATTCAATGGGGCTTTTTCTAAGAAAAATGTTTTTGTAGTATTAATTTTTAAATGATATTACATTACCTTATTTTCTTATTTTCATTGTGTATGGGAGATTTTGGGCATGAAAACAGGTAACACTGAATTCCATCAATACTGCAAACTTTTATCTTTATAAATCTCACTGGATTTATGGGAATTTTAAACTGTATTTTAATTAAAAATTTAAAATCAGACACACTGTACTGTGTGTTTTCAGGTACCAAATGCAAAACAGCTGAATTCAACTTAATAATCTTGCTCCACTTTTTCGTTTTTCAACGCTTTTTAAGCAGTTATCCAATAATCGCTTGGTAGCACACGGCTGCAGTTTCATGACCACTCCATGACACAACGGATATAATTTCAAAGTCACCTTGAGTTGGCAAGTATCTAAATTATCAGTTTCTTAAATGAGTAATTGCATAAAATGCTATGTTTTGTGTCTAAACTGATGCAAAATCCCATTTCTTTTTCTCTATGAATAGACTAATACATGTGAAAATCCCACATTAAAAAGTTGCTTAGGTCCAGCTTAAGCACATAAGAACAACAGGCTAAAATATCAGTGGGGAAAAAAAAAATCAGGAATGAAATGCTTCTAAACACACTGTTACACAACCTCAGGCATGCAGCACTGTTATAACAAAGTCTGCAAGGAAACAAATGTTGTCTTTGGCAAGCTGTCTCTAACAAATCAACAAGTTTTTGAAACACACAATAGAAGTTACTGATTTTTAAATGCTTTAATTTCTTTTCCGCAATTGTATGTGTGGCTAAAGTTCCTTATGGTAGCTTTAGACTAGTTTACAGATTAGATTAGATCTGTTTGCAAAACTTATTTAAAATAGCTTTATATAAAGCACAAGGAATTTTTTCTGCTATAAATAACAGAAAATTACAGTAAAGTCAAAGTCAGCCATGACATGATGTGAACATATCTGGCAATAAAATTGGAGAAGACATGCATTAGCAAAATTACCAAAATTACTTATAAATCCTCATTTTTCATTTGCATGTTTGTGTGTGTATACAGACATGACAGAGAGAGACAGATACAATTCTCTTGTAGACAAGCCACCCTCTAAGTAAGGAAATACAAAAGCAGACACCTTCATTTGCAAGATCTCCTTTGAAGACAGAAGCCTACGTTTATCAGTCCATTAATACAAAAGGATAAAAAGAACATGGTTGTTTATGACTGGCCTTAATGTACAAGGGACCAAATTTGACTTTGCAATGAGACAACCCTAAATATTCCTCATACCCATTTACTGGAGTGCCACAAATTAAAACTTAACACTGTGTACTTATCCAGAAGGTAAGAACAGGAGATGTTTTATACACAATGTTCCACACCATGGCAGTAACACCCAGCCATACCTACTTAAAACACACTTCGCTGAACCAGAAATAGCTAAGAAAATTCGCCTCAGACTGAACTTCAACTGGCTGGTCATTTTTACATTTTAATGTTTCAGATGCCGTCATCAGAGAAGGTGGCCTGAAGTCCCCTTGCACACTGGCCTACTAAAATTAAACACAGAGATGGGAAAGCAAAGCATTTATCCTCCTTAAAACCAGTGTAAAGGGAGTGCTGGGCACAGTGACTCACTGAATATTGCACATTATCTGCTTCTCAAGCTAAGAATACCACCAGAGTACAAGACGTGTTTAGTTCCTGGGAATAATACTGAAGTACATCTGTTACCTAATTAAGGACTTCTATGCACATACTCAAATGACTAGCAGTTGTTCCTCCCTTGTACTGGCTAAAAACTTTTAGCAAATTAGGAAGAATATGAAGACAACTAGTATTTCCTTGAGAGAAATGCCGTCCCTTTCTAATACACCATGATGTACACGCCATGATGTGGCAATAAAAAACAAGCAGCTCAGAGTTTTCATTCAGCTTATTATCACAGAAAAAAATACCTGCCCAAAGCTACCATAATGCATTCTAAAGGTGGACCAAAAAGCTCCAAACTGCACTACATTGTTGTATTACTGTTTTTCTTTACACAGAAACTCTTCTACTCTTTTGAGAAGAATACTCTTTAGGGTTTAAATAGAAAGCACCAATACCCAAGGTCCATGACTTTCAACTAGTCAACTTTTTAGCCTGAATACATTAATTGATGGCAGATTCAGGGTCACCTTTAGAGTATTATAAGGGCAATTAGTAATTTGGCCATACAAAAAACAAAGTAACCAGACTAACTCTCACAAAAATCTCTGCAAACTGTTCACTGAAGTAACTCTTTTCTTGACAAGATTATGGATGCCATAATTTTTATCATGCCAGCAGAAGCACGCACTCCTCTAATGATGTTAAAGCTTGTTTCAAAGACACATGCTGTAATAATTGTCAAATAAAAGTTTAATAGTCAAATCCTGATTTAAACTGAACTCTTCAAAGACAAAAGGGATTACAACTGTACTCTGTATTCAAGATTACTCTAGGATTTTAACTTTTCACAAGCACTTATACTGGTAAACTGTATTCTGCCTTAAGCTTGTATATAATAATTCAAAATTGCTTTGCAAGTGCTTCACTAAAGTCACCCACCTCCAACCAACCATTTCACGAACACCAAAACACCGGCAGTTCTAAATTAGTAGTTTTCCAAAATATTTTACATAGGATGCAGTCCTTCCCTTTGTTCCTACTGGAAATATCCTCTTTCCAAAGGGCAAATATAAGTGCAATGAAAATGCTTTCTCAGCTTTCCTTCCCAACATGTCAAGTGACAGATAAGAGGTACAGCATCTCCTCTGTGGAAACACATTACCCAGAGCACTAGCTATGAGTTGCAGGCTAAGCCATGGGAGCAGCAGACTTGCTCCTGCTTAGACCTCCATGCTTTTTATGTCCCCAGTGCAGAGCTATGAGAAGCTGCAATTCTGCAGCAAGAAAACCTAAGACCAGCCTACTGAGGAAGCTGAAATCCTCACAAGTAACTTGCAACTGTTCTTCAGACTACACTTTCGATAAGAAGCTCTCTAACTGGGGGAATGGGTCACCTGGAGAGACAGGAATACATCTCCAAGAGCAACGAATGGCTGTTGCTGAAGGAAGGAGGGAGCTGGAAGGGGAGGGTTGCACATGGACAGAGCATTGAGATACACCACTGCAATGCCATGGGCCCTGACAGCCAGGAGCTCCCACACATCTTTCCTCTTTTTGACTTCTATATAGCAGAAATCACCCTAGAATTACTTCATTCTATGACCCAGGTCTTCCGCAGGCACCTTTTTCTAGCTCACATCTTGATTTGTTATCGCTGCTTTGTAGGCAGCCTCTGCCATCTCCTTGGAATTTTCAGTTACAGGGCAAAGCTTACTGCAGGACTCACCAGATCACACAATGATGGGTTTTACTTATAAAGTAAGCATAACCCATAACCTGCATTCAGCTACAACAGTGCAGAATCATAGAATCATAGAATAGTTAGATGCATATCTTTCTAGTGACCTACCTGAAAGACCTATCTCAAAGGGATGGCTTTTAAAAACATGGAAGAAAGTATTCTATTTCCAAATTGGGACTGACAGATCTTGCTTAACCTTGGCAAGTCAGCTACTGGGAATCTCTGAATTCACATTCACACAAAAACAAGGATCACAGATCCTGCTGTATATACCATTTCCCTCCTGAAATCATGATAAAAAGAAATTGGTGAAAGTTTGTTGCTCACCCACATCAACTCCAGGGTGGCTGAACAAAAAAAGATTAACCTATAAATGGAGAAGGACTTGTGAAGAAGAAACAAATGCACTTTCATCAGGTTAGCACATTCTTATACAAACAAGCACTTTTATTCAAAGTGTTCTACAGGTGAAAAAAAAGATGAGATGTTATCTTTGCTGTTGCCTGGCAAAGGTGTGAGAGAGCCAGCAAGAGATACACTGCACACAGTGCTGTCCTAAAAAGAGACAGAAGAACACAGAAGAAAAAAAAAGGGGGCTTTGTTCCTCCAAGGACAGCAAAAAGGCACTTCCATCTCTTGCTGAAGCTGGAAGTGCTGCATGCAGACAGGGACCAAAGCAGATGCTTGAGTCCATCTAAGAGAATAGAGTGTGCAGGGTACAAAGGTGCCTGAACGAAGAACAGGGAACAGTGGTTTCACAGTTAATGGAATGATCCATGTCGTAAAAATTTATAGTATTTTTTGCTGTTCCACAAATGAGGTGTATCATAAAGGGTCAGTATATTGCCTCAAAAATATTCTTCTGGCCTAGATTATACAGAAGTATTTTTCAACAAATCCCTCCATGTTATTTGCTCCATGCTGCTCACAAGTGACCTCTGCACTTCATAATTCTTCACTGTACCTCCTGATGCAGTGTGGAGCTGAGAAGGTTGGTTTCAATCTCTAAATAGGAATTGCCTGCCGTCAGACCATCGTGTGTGTGTCTCCCCCAAAGAGCAAACATCCCAGAGAAAAAGGTTGAATCAATCAGATCAAAATAGAGCCGGGGGAGTCAAATTCAAGCTTAAAATAAAGGGATGCAATTTAAGAACCTATTCCAAAGAACATTCAAATCAATGAGATGCTTCAAGCTAACTTGGATCATACAGTAACTATGAAACCATTACCATGTACCTTAAAAAGACCAGATTGCATATGCATATTTAAAATAGATTTAATCTAACAGAATTAAGAAAGGTCCAATCACCTACTATCAAAATGTTTCATTTCCAAAGCAAGAGACAACACTGTATACCACCCAATACAGTGTTTCCAATGTTTTCTTCCTTCGGTATAGCTGTTGTGATGCTACTGGTGACCATGAGCTATGTATGTG